TCAGGATGAAGAACAACACGCGGCAGGTGAGGGGCACGTTCCATTCACGATCGGCCCAGATGTTGAGGAAGGTGAAGAGAGCGGGGAGTTTGGAGAATGGCAGAACCAAGAGAGCGTCCTGAAGGGCAGCTGCGGGGATCTTCTGGACGGTGTTCAGAACATGCTGCTCGGCGGAGACGTTGTTGAGAGCCAGGTAGACGGGGTTACGATCGGGCGCGGCGGCGTTGGGGTTAGCAGCCTTGACCTTGTGCCAGTCGCGTACAACTTCGAGATCCTCGAGACCAAGTTCCAGAGCTTCCATGATCTTTTCTCCGGCCATGAGAGTGCCGGTCGTCTGCTTGCCAGCGTCGACGGCCTCGGCCTTCTCGCCGTCTTCACCGTCCTCCTCCTGCTCGAGAGACGCGGTGAGTGTGCTGTCGTATGCCTCTTCCATCTCCTTCTCGCGTTCTTCCTCCAGGAACAATGGTTCGTCGGTTTGTTGCCAGATGCGGATGCTCTTGTCGTGACTGGCACTGACAATGAAATCACCAGTGTGACTCATGGCAAGTGCCCAGATCTCACCGTGGTGACCAACGAGGCGCTGAATTTGCTCGAACTTGTCACCGTCCCAGTATTTGATGATACGGTCCTTGCTTGCACTGAAGAAGTTGTGACCGTTTCCATCCTTGTTGTGAGGAACGAATGCCACTGCCATGATACTGTCCTCGTGGGCCAAGAAGGCCTTGTGACAGTCACCAAAGTCCAAACCCCAGAGTCGAACGGTCTTATCAGCCGAGCAAGTGACAATTAGTTTGCTATCATGCGAAATATCCATGCTCAAAACAGGAAGCTTGTGTCCGTAAAGGTTGAGGAATAGCTTCAGCGAGTCGACGAAGAAGACCTTCACAGTATTGTCAAGAAGAGAGACGGCCAGAAGTCGTGCATCTGGAGAGAAACGAAGGTTGAGGATATCGTCGTTGACCTTCAGCGTCCTTGTGTGTGCCAGCTTGAGGCGGGGAGTGGTACGTTTGGTACCCGGGATCTCCTCTTGGACAACCTGGAAATTCCAAAACTTGGCGGTCTTGTCTGCACTTCCACTGACCATAGACTTACCATCTGGGTGCACGTGAAGTGACCACACGGGTCCGTCGTGGGCTTTGATAGTGTCGAGCAATGTTGATGATGCGATATCGAACACCTCGAGTTCTCCGTTCTTGTTACCAACAACGACAATCTTGTCACCAGGAAGGAATGCCGAACATAGGGAATATCCACACTCAAGGGTTCGTAGACAACTTTCGGTGCGAACGTTCCAAATCTTGAGAGTGCCGTTCGAAGCAGAGGCAAGCATTCGGTCGTCAGAGCTCAATGCAATCGATCGGATATCTGTTCGGTGGCCAGGAATGTCCACTGCCAAGCTCCGGGTGTAGTCCGGGTCCTCGCTGTCGGTGTTCTTCTTGTTCGCTGGCACAATGTTGTAGGCCTCAAGTTGGTTGTTTGTTGTTGCGGCAAGCAGGTTCAGGCCACTTGACTTGTTGGTCATCCAGTCGAAGGAACGAACCTTTCCACCAGTGCGCACAATAACATGTTGGACAAAGACTTCAGATACAGGAGCGGCGGAAACATCCTCAGGCTTGTCGTTATCCTCTTCCGCTCCATTTTCCTCGGTGCGAGCCTCCTTCTCCTTTCTTCTCTTCTTCTTGCGGGCCATGCTCTTTTGTACCTCGGACTGAGAGCGAATACGCCAAACCTCGACCGACTTGTCGGAACCGTGGAATCCAACGTAGTCTGAACGGGGGTGGAATCGGATGCCAAGTGTGCGGTCCTTGCCATGTCGGTAGAAAGTTCCTCGTTCTGTGAGAATTCGGCGACCATCCGCGCCCACCTTCTCCTTGGAAATCTCCATCATAGCCGCTTCATCGATGGACCAGACCCTGAGTTCACCATCGTTGCCGGCTGTGATACATCCGCCCTGGTCTGGCGAAAGACCTAAGCTCCAGCACTCGCCATTTGATTGTGCCACATGTGTTTCAATGCAGTGCTGAGAGGCAAGATCCCAGACTTTGATCAATGCATCCTTTCCAGTGGTCAAGAGGAATCCTGGGTGTTCATTCAATCCGGAAGCAGTGAGCAATTCTGGGGAGGGGAATAGGAAGTGTAGTGATGTGATCTGGTCGGTGTGTCCACGAAGTCTGAAAAGACCGGTCTCAGTGATCAAATCCCAGAGGATAATATCGGTATCTTTAGAACCACTGGCGAGGCGCACGCCTGCGTTGTCGAAGGCCAACTTGGTAACGGCGGATTTGTGACCGTTGAAAGAAATAATGACTGTGGCGGTGCGCGAATCCCAAAGGCGAATACTTCCATCCTCGTAGCTGAAAAGAAACATGATAGTCAGAAAAAAATCGTGCAACTAGGTCAGACCAGAGGAAACTCACCCGACTGCGAAGATATCTTCATCTGTCATGCTCTGAGTGACCACACTAACCTGCGCTCTGCAGGCAGAATCGCGCCATCTTCCAAGAAGTTCTCCCTTCTTCACATCCCAGCACAGAACTTCCTCACTTGCGCCGACAATGGCTCGTCCGGCGCCCGTCTGGCGTGCAATGCCAATTTGGTCATCTTTGGCCCAAACCGCATTCGAAGACGCCGAGGCGACGAGCCCGAATGTATTCGAATGCTCGAATTTACTGTGCAGAGGTTAGCGGCCAGATCATAATGTTCCAAATCACAAAAAATCGCACGTACAAGTATGATTTCACCATCGTTGAGGGTGGATGGGAAAATTTTTGGAATCTCCGATTGCTATCGATAGGACAAAATTAATACGGGCGGTGACAGCGACCTCTACGGCTCCCCCCCACCGCCCATGACGATCACGGGCAACCTCACAACAGCCACCCACCTGCACTGCATACCATCCATTGCCCTGCCCGTCATGCTTCTCTTAGATTACCAGAATGCTCTGATCCAGTCGCTCCTTACGGAGCGTTTTTCTGGGTATGCTTTGTTCCTCTCCCCCGCACTGTGATCCCGCGCATTGTATACACATCACCCCCGAAGCAGGCACCCGGCTAACAAGCTGAACTCAGAGCACCCCCCGCATCCATTGACCAAGTGGTTTCCGACTTCGACGGTGTGACATTTCACCTCTCTACTCCCGAGTCTAAGACGAAGATCCTCATCTCGATCAATGTGAAATGCTACAAGGAACTTGTTCAGTACGGGGCCCAGGAGGTCTTGGAGAGAGAATATGGGCCCTACATTGTGTCCCCGGAACCGGGCTATGATTTCTCAGTACAAATCGATCTCGAAAACCTGCCCGCAGAGGAGGAGGCCCGGAATGACCTGATTATGAAGCTTGCCCTCTTGAAACGGAACGCAATGGCTGCTCCTTTTGAGAAAGCATTCGACGAATTCAACAAGCTCGCCGAGGAGGCTTCCAGATATACCTCAGAGTCAGCACCACAGGGTATCCAGGAGGGCGGTGAAGTTATGGCGATTCATTACCGTGAAGAAGAGGCCATCTATATCAAAGCCAACTGGGACCGAGTGACAGTGATCTTCAGCACCGTGTTCCGCGAAGAGACAGATCGGATCTTTGGCAAGGTTTTCCTGCAGGTTCGTACTTTGCCACCATTGGTCTGCGGATTCATGAGGAATCCTTGCTAACAGTCTATAGGAATTTGTCGACGCCCGGCGCCGTGTCTTGACGCTTCAGAATGCCCCTCAAGTCCTGTTCCGTAACGACCCTCCCCTTGAGCTTGCAAATGTGCCTGGCCTGAATGCTACCGGAGGCGAAGTTAGCTATGTCACTTTTGGTATGAATGCAAAACGCGCTATCGATTGCCATCTAAGTACTGACTCGGCTTGCAGTTCTGTTCCCTCGACACCTCACCCCGCAGCGTCGTTATGAAAACATTTCTCACATTCAGACCTTCCGTGATTATTTCCACTACCACATCAAAGCTTCAAAGGTATGCGGTTTCTCTCGGTCTATTTTTAGATGATGGGCAAGGAATTGATGACTAAACATTATTGCAGGCCTACATCCACACTCGAATGAGGAAGAGGACAGCAGATTTCCTTCAGGGTATGTATCATCTGAGCAGAGAAAACATTTTCATTGCTAACTCACAGCAGTACTCAACCGAGCTCGGCCGGAGAATGAAGAACGTGAGCGGAAGACTGCTAGTGGTCGCACGTTCCGAGTACAGGGTTAGAGCTTCGAATTTCTTTGTTTGTATGAGCCAATTCAAGTCTACTGTTTTAACACCTATGCTTTGGTTGCATGCAGCTCATTTGTAGTATTAAATTTTTTAAAATCTCAGCAATTGAACATAGCTGCAACAACGGCTCAAGCCATTGCTCGTAAGGAACTGTACCATGCATGTTGACTTGTCACTTTCTAGGCCTCTGGGTTGGTAGACATACTATCTGCGGTATCATCTGGTCAGCTGCAAACCCATCCATTGTTAAGCTACTTGGTAATCTATTTAACTGCCAGTGAACTTACCTCCCTATATATCATGTAGGTAGCAAACATAAAGCTTGAGACTATGCTGTACATGCACCTACCTAGTCCTAGCTGTGTAAGTAGTACCTAGGTATCGTTTAACTATCAATCTTGGAACTCAGCCTCAGGTTTAGCAAACCTATCACACGGAGGCAATTCCCAGCCGCTTACAATATTCCAGTGTTTCAGCTGGTTCCCAGCTATTCCCTCGCGCGACCTCAACCGCGGTTCTGCTTAAACTTGACCTCATTAGGACAGATTTATGCGGGTCGATACCGCAATGGACGATCTCCACTGTCTTATCCACGATGTGGCTCAGGTGAGTGGTGATGAGTCGTACCTGCCCAATATGGACCGTTCGCTATACTACAACTTTGGAACATCATGAACAGGAGACATAATGTATGAAGAAATATAAATACCCAAGTACTTGTACTCTAGTTTGTTCCTTCCTCAATAACCTCATCTTTTTAAAAGGTCTTGTGGTGAAACGTGGAATACCAATATGGCACCCAAGACAGGTCTATGGGGAGCCGCTCTCTCTAAGCTACGAAAGACGCAACTGCAGCCTGCACGTCAGACTACACGTGAGACAGAGACTCCCCAGGAGCTTCCCCAGGACAAGCTTGTCTATCCTCGTTTCCAGCGCCCTGTCTCGGACGAGACCCCCATTTATTCTGAACTCATGTTCCCTCCCACTCCACTCCCAACCGTCCCCATGGCGTCCGATTCCAACCTTAATCCTCTGGCAATGGCTTCTACTATTTCTCAGGCCCGCCTGAATGCTCTGCACTCAGGAAAGGACTTGGAGTTTTACTTCCAACGGGGTAAGAACTGTATTGATGCTTATGCCCAGGCCACCAAGGCTCTGATGGAAGATGCGTGTGCCCGCGTCAAAGATGGAGAGGATCCTCCATATGAAGAGATTGAACAGTTGAAGGAGCGCTTCTTCAGATACTGCCAGTCAATTGTCGAGGAAGCATTGTCCCTGATCTCAGGCGGTGCTACCAATCACCCCCGCCAGGTCAGCAACTCGACCATGCCTTCGATGGTCTCCTCAATTTCGACCAAGACTGGATCTGAGCCAAAGACTCCCTTGGAATTTGGCTTGTTTGATGACAGATCGGGATTTGCTGAGGCATTGGTAAGTGACTTGACTCCATGAATCGGTTCTACTTTCGAAACATTTGACACTGACCTGTAATAGCTCGATGCTAGCGGACAGGGCCGCCTTCGTCTCTACACCGTGAGCAGCGACGACTGGGTCATGGTCCCATCGATGCCGTCGCCCACATCTCCAGCCCAGGTCGTGGCTCCCGAGCACATGGATCCTGTTGAGGAATCGATTCATCTCGGTGTCATCGTGCGCATTTTCGGCAAGCTGTACGCAATCTCGAAGATGGTGGAGACAATTACCTTGTATTACGGTGCTGAGGTACGTCTTGAGATTACAAGTTTACCCTTGCCCCATACTTATATCTCTTGCTTCCTGAATATATAACTGCTAACACCGACTTTCTCCTCTTAGCCCGACAACTCCAAGACCGGTCTGACATACTGGATCCAACGCAGCGAGGAAAACGTGCGCACCCAGAAGATGACTGTGCTAATTGATACTGTCGAAAACCTCTATTATGCCCTCTATGCCCGCATTATGATTGAGCTGGCCGCCATTGAGCTCTGTGGTTCCTATCGAATTGACACTAGTGCATTCCGAATCGAGATTCCGTATCTCATGCCAGAGGCTGATCATCTGTACCGCATCGTTCTAGCGTTCAAGACTGTGCTGAACTCCCCGGATATTTGCGCAATCCGTCGGACTGACGTTATCGCCCACTTCCAACGAGGATTTATCAATCAGCTTCCGAAAGAAAAGAAAGGTCAGGACGAGTTACCCGACTTTGACCCCCTCGGATATCGCAAGTTTGCACTGAAAACTGTCTCTTACCGACACGGATCTTACTGTGAAAAATGGAAAGGATTCATTCCATTCTTCGACTCCATCCCGGCAAAGACCATGGCAACACTGTCGGAGAAGTATCTCAAACTGACTCCAGTGGTTATCCCACCTGACAACATTCCATTCGTGGACCTTCCATGGATCCACCTAGGGCACGTGGGAAAGGCTGTCTGGGGAAAGGAGGTTCACAACGATTTCAACTTGTTCCGTGCCACTCAAGAGCTGGGCACAACCATCGGAGAAGAACGCACCAAGGGGATCGACCCTGATCTCTACACCCTTGCCAGAAAACGACAGTGCATTTGCAGCTCTATCTGTGGATGTTCCTGGGAATGTACCCAAGATGTGCAGCGCCCCTGCCCTTGTGCGGAACGCCATGTACGCATTCTATTGACCAAGCGTGCTCTTGCAAAAAGATGGGAGGGACCTGGGTTTGCCATTACCGCTTCCACCATTGCTCGCATGTTCTTTGATGGTTTGGCTCAGCTCAAACGTGATGTTGAAGCCACTGATTTTGCCAATGAATTGAGCCATGCTTTCGAATTGTTCTCTCTATTGATCTCCAGGGAACGCGGGGTGGTTTTCAGGGAAGACTTCCCAGAAAGCTTCTAAACTCGCAGTCCTGTAACTCTGACCACGACTTACGATTGCAACTACGACTACGACTCACGAGCTCCAGTTCAATTCATGAGCTGCAACGATAATCCAAATGAAGGAAGGATTCCCAGGAGACTGGGTATTCTGTTCATCCGAGATTCATGAGAATCATCCAAAAGGAATTCAATCTGCAACACAAAAACGACAAAAAACAGAGGGAAAAAAAGAAAATCACAAAAAGATTGACAACGGAAAGGAGAAAAGGTTCATCGACCCCCCCCNCCCCCCCCCCCCCCCCCCCCCCCCCAGGATAGTGTTCGATGAGGATAAATCATCGAAGGGAAGTAATGGGAGGAGCCCAGAGGGCGAACAACACCATTTGACAGATATCGGAAACTGATCATGCGCCATATCATTTATTTGATGAAGCCATCACGAGAGGTCTACATATCCAGTCTCGAAATGAAATTGATTCAGCCCCAGCTGCTGCCTAATGTTTCGTACAGACTCGCCTATCCCATATCCGACGACCAAACCTCGTCAACACCAGCCGAACAGACGGCTGCACCTTCAGGAACCCATCATAAGTGATACATTTTGGATCACCCAGCATTATGGAGCTCCCTGCCATGGTAATAGTACCTCTACACACCCTGTCGTATCTGACCTTGGTACCTGCACAGTATTGACAAGGGAACCATTTTCGCCGGTATCTTGGGGCATTTTGAAGTATTCCTCAGCCCCAGCCAGCTTGGCAATTGGTGCCAGGCCGACTAATATGCTTTTTATGCAAATAGTAGTCCCATAGTGGACATATAGATCACATATCCTGCTCTTTGGGCTCTTCACTAACATGTGCCTTTTGCAGTCCATTTTGAGGGCGTTTTGAGGGCATTTTGCATCTCCTCGTTGACTTGGCTGATAACTTTTGAATGATGAAATCGCCCTTATTTCTCTTCTGGGACATATGTGTAAATATAGCGAAATCAACAATTGTAACGCAGTAGAGTGCTATTTTTAGGATATATAGACAAGTTCTAAGAGGATCATTGGATCAACAGGGATATAGATAAGTAAATATAGCCCTAAGAGCCGCGGGGTTTTTGTATTATCAACTGCTAATTTTCAAAACAGATGGATTTTGGACGAATCTAACAAGTATAACAAAAATGAGGAAGTATATAAGTATTTAGAGAATGATTAATGTCAGGGATGCCGATAATTGCATGATTTTCATATTCTCAGAGATACTCCGTAGTGTAAGGTACAGTCGGCGGCGCAGACCAGTGAAATCTTCGAGACCTTCTCGGCCTTTATCGGTGAGTCGCATTTTTCTTTTCTCTGTGCACTCAACAGGTCTGAGTCAACAATTGTTTTCAACTATCTTCTCGTATTCTGTCTCTTCATTTTTTTCACTTTTCATGCCTTAATGCCCCAGAACCCATTCGCCGAGCCCATCTTGGTGCACAGAGAGCCAAGTTAGGGATGGTGACCAAGGCAGCGTCCGTGTCACATTCATTATCATCGTCATGGACGTCCATTAGCAAGTGGATCGCGAACATAAGCATAAATCAAGCCCCGATCCAGGGTGCCCGCCTCCGACAACCGAGCACGGCACGGCCATACCACGCGGCAGTGTGGCCCTCCTACGGCATCACCACCCCTGTTCCTGACCAGCTATTCGCTTCCCCCAAATCGCCCTTTCGATTCGAGACAGGCTACGCTTTATGTGCCAAACGACCCCCACGACCTTTCCCTCCACCTTTCCTTTCCCCGCCTTCTTCATCCTTCTCGGATCCTTTGACAACACACGGACTTAGCCAGGATAAGAGATTATCCGTCAAGGGGGAGCTAGTCCGCGGCCTGAACAACGGAGACGATGCCATTATCGTCGCGGAGAACTTCATAGGCGTCGACGATGGTGTAGGCGCCTGGGCTACGAAACCTCGTGGTCATGCTGCGTGAGTGGTCTCAATCTCAATTTGCATCATGCCACCATCGCTGACTTTTTCATTTTTCCAAATACAGACTCTGGTCTAGACTCCTATTACACTTCTGGGCCCTCCAGGTCGAAAGGAACGTCGATCACCGCAAGTCTACCCTCGACCCGGTCGGATACTTGCAGTATGCATACGAGGAGACCTTGCGGGCAACTACATCTCCTACCGAGTGGCTCGGAACGACAACATCGGCCACTGCCATACTACACTGGACCAAGGAACAAGATGGCACGCAGAAGCCATTACTGTACGTTACAAACCTGGGCGATTGTAAGATCCTCGTGATCCGACCAAGTGAGAAGAAAGTCCTTTTCCGCACTGCGGAGCAGTGGCATTGGTTTGATTGTCCCATGCAGCTTGGGACAAACAGTATCGACACACCCCAGAAAGATGCAGTCTTGTCCAAGATTGCGGTGCAGGAAGACGACGTCGTCCTAGCCCTCTCGGATGGCGTCATGGATAACCTCTGGGAACACGAGGTTCTGAAAGTCGTTATGGACAGTGTCGATAATTGGGAGGAAGCGCGCGCAGCGCCAAAGGACATTGCGCCGCACTCTCCTCTGTCTGACGAACGCAATGTCTATGTCGCCCGGGAACTGCTTAATGCCGCCCTGTCAATTGCCCGAGACCCCTTTGCAGAGAGTCCCTTCATGGAGAAGGCTGTGGATGAGGGTCTGGCTATTGAAGGAGGCAAAATGGACGATATCTCCGTCGTGGTCGCGTCTTGCAAGAAAAGTGATGGATGAGAGGCAGCCATTTGTTTTCGATCAGACTTTCTTTCGCAAATACCCATCGATCTTGAATGGCGCCTGTCTCAGACTTGCGCCGGTTTCACTGAACCCGAATCTCGGACCACGAGGCAGGCTCGTGTTCTACGTTTGGCATCAATGATAGACGCTCATATCTACAGCCAAAAGCTAGTTCACCTACATTGCTATTGCGCAGTATGATGCCTTGCAAGTCTCGAATCAGGACCTAGGCATGCAGTGCAGTCGGATACTCACCAAATCAAACCCGGGGGAATTACTTCCACATCGGCTGGATTTCTTCATATATATCCCCCAGTCCTTCGCCGCAGGGCTTCATTACTTAGCCTCGCCTGGTCATAATCACATTACCCATCCGTTGGTGTCTTCCACCAGCTCTGAGCTAGTGGAGAATGTGTATCGGTGGTTTGCGAACACCTGAAATCCCTGCTGCCAATCTGTCAAGCTGGTGTTTCGTACCTATACCCAATATCCCATCTAGCGTCTTGAGATCTCTTTGCATTCATCTGTGAGGGATTCCATTACTAGCACGATGTGGCTTGTCTATCCATCGTTTAATAGTTATTTTCAATCTAAACCTAACAAATAATAATATCTCCTTGACTCACTACATACATAGTATGCTATGTAATTTCCCATCTTGGTCTGCGGAGATCAGTAAATGCGAAGTATACGGTACTTAATTTCAAGGCCAGGTGCCCCACTTGGGTAAAGTACTAGGTACCTCGCCCTCAGCACGGACCACAACACCGCCGCTCCCGCCCGGCAGAATGAAAAAAGTTTCGGTCGACGTAGAAGCTCATGTCTTTTGCTGCATTCAATTCTCAAATACTTGATACTCACCATTCACAATGAGGGCCAAACGTTCAAAGAAGTATCGCAAGCTTATGCACCAGTATGAGCTCACTTTCGGTTTCCGAGAGGCCTACCAGGTTCTGGGTATGTTCCCTTCAATGCATTGCTCTGATGTACAGTACTGACTTGCGCTCGAACAGTTGACTCGAATTTCCTTCGCGCCACCGACTCCTTCAAGATGGAGCTAATCCCTGCACTTGAACGAACAGTCCAAGGCAAGGTCAAGCCTCGTAAGTCGCACCGAACGCCAAACTTCCCATCCGCCAAGACGAACCCAATTTAACCATCTCGCAGTATTGACAAAGTGCTCGCTCGCCGCTATCATGGCCGCACAACCCATCAACCCCAAAACCGAAAAGCCATACAGACCTCTCTTCCTTCCCCCGCCCACAGAACTCCCGCTCCGCCACTGCTCACACAACGCGGACTCCACGCCCATCGACGAAATCGAGTGTCTCCTCTCGCTGCTTTCTCCCAACGCAGACTCAAAGAAGAACAAGGAGCACTACATCCTCGCCTGCGCGGATCCAATCTTGAGAAAGACGAACAATAGCGAGAACCAGCCCCGCAGACGGAAGACAGAGGAGGATCGTAAAGAAGAGGAAGCTATGCGCCGTTCTCACGCACTGCGCTCCGCTGCCCGCTCCATCCCCGGTGTGCCTATCATCTACGTCAAGCGCTCGGTTATGGTCCTCGAGCCGATGAGCGGCCCGTCCGAGATGGTACGGGATGGTCACGAGCGTGGGAAGTTCCGCGCTGGATTGGATGTGGATCCTATGCTCGGCAAGCGCAAGAGAGATGGTGAGGCTGATGGCGAGAGTGATGCTGAGGCGGAACCCAAGAAGAAGCGCGGTCCTAAGGTCAAGGCGCCTAATCCTCTTAGCGTGAAGAAGGCTAAGAAGAAGGTGGATGCGCCTGCTCCCAAGAAGGATAAGGCTGTCCGGAAGGAGGTTGATGTCGCAGATGCTACTGAGCAACATGACGGCGATGAGGCTGCCGCGGCTAAGCCTAAGAGGAAACGTCGTCATGCTAAGAGTGGTCCTCGTGAAGACTTCGAGGAGGCCGCCGAGCCTAATGAGGCTATGGAGGTTGACGCTTGATTGAATCTTTACGGTATAGGCGATTCATGATGCTGGTTATCATTGCATGCATTCTCAACCTTATTTCACTCTAGGGTGCGGCGTTTAGATCGGATGGGTTATATCTAAAAGTTCAGCTGATGTACATAATAGTAATGTACATCTGATATCATTCTTATAAAACCCGGTACATCGTAGATTAAGTGTTCGGCATTAGTGCCAAGAAAAACATGGAAAAGAAGACTCAGTCGGTCGTATATATATTTACATGTTTAGATATCGTACAAGTTTTCTTCCCCGGATGAAATGAGAGGAGATAATTTGGCCTCCGTTTGCTTGTGCTCATGCGTCCTCATGAGAACATATCCCAGTCGAGTCGCAATCTCGGGGCCAGGCCAAAGGTTCCCACTAATACCAAGTAGCAGTGCTCACTTTTCAGGTATGAGTCAAATCAAAGAATAGCCCTAAAAAGCACACTCCAAACTCCAGCCCAAAACAAGATGGCATATGCTCATACCACAGCAGTCTATTGCTTCGCAGCATTAGCCGCTGCAACATTCGCCGCAGCAGCTGCTGCCGCCACAGGCCCTTGCTCAAGCTCGCGCTCCTTGGCCCAGACCTCCTCAACACGCCGGCGGTTGCTGCGCGCCTCGTCTCGGTTGCGCTTTGCGCGCTCGAATCGCTCTGCGGAGAGACATTTGTTCACTTCGACTTTGATATCATTGCAGCTTCCAATGACTTTGTGTAGGAATCCCTTGGCGTGGCACTCGTCAAGAGCAGTCATGATTTCTTCGCAATCTGTATGATATCAGTTAGTATCGGCAATCAAAAAGCGGGATGGAATGGCAAGATGGATCTTCCGGGTATAGCGGACTCAACGTACTGACATTGTAAGAGGTGTGGAGGTGAGAATGCATGATTGCGGTGGTAATAGGCTGAAAAGCAGAACAACTTGAAAAACAATTGCAAGTTCAATCGTACGATCCCAGGCAAAGCAAGAACATCGCGGTTCCCGCAAAACGCCCGGGCGGTAAGGAGATCGGCCAGATTCTGCCGGGCGGACAGCCCCTCAGGCACACCGATAAAAAAAAATATCGCCGATAAAAAAAAAGTGGACTGGTGTGATCAGTTTTGTCACAACACTTTCACAATGTCTTCCATGATTACGACTACGACATGGGTGAAGCGCGGTGTCGCTGCCCAGTTCCCTACCAAATATGAGATTGACGAGGCCGAGATGGGCCGTATATCTAAGCTTGCGCGCATGCAGCTCGAGGATGCGAAGGACGATATGAATGCTGCCCAGGAAGGCTCTGGAGATGAGGCTGATGATGCTATGGAGGATGATACTGAGGAGAAGCCCTCAGCTAATGGCACTGATGCAAAGAGGTGAGTAGTGTTGAGCGCAAGTGAGGATTTAACTCATGCTAACCGGATTTACAGCGATGATGATGTGTTGAAGGAATTCGACATGGATAACTACGACAAGGAGGAGATCGATGAGGACGGCGAGAAGGTCACCATGTTCGGCAATGTTCAATCTCTGGCCTACCACCAGCCCAACGAGGAGGACCCGTACCTTGTGATCCCCGAGGACGAGGATGATGAGGAACGCGAGGAGCTCCAGATTATGCCCCACGACAACCTTCTATTGGCCGGAAAGGTGGAGGACGAAGTTGCACACTTGGAGGTCTACGTCTACGAAGACAAAGCGGACAACCTCTATGTGCACCACGACATCATGTTGCCCGGCATCCCGCTTTGCACAGAGTGGCTTGATATCCCCGTTGGCAATAACCCAGAAGGTCGGACACAAGGAAACTTCGTGGCTATCGGAACCATGGAGCCCGATATCGAGATCTGGGATCTGGATGTTGTGGACTGCATGTACCCCAACGCAATTCTTGGCCAGGGCGGCCAGGACGCCGATAAGCCGAAGAAGAAGCAAAAGAAGAAGGCCAAGGCCAACGACGAGTACCACATCGATGCCGTCCTGGCGCTGGCCGCCAACCGTCAGCACCGCAACCTGCTTGCCTCCGCCTCAGCCGATAAGACCGTCAAGCTCTGGGATCTCAACACCGCCACCTGCGCCAAGTCCTACGCCAACCACAAGGACAAGGTCTGCTCACTAGACTGGCACCCTACCGAGTCCACCATCCTGCTGAGCGGCAGTTACGACCGCACCGTCGTGGCAGCGGATATGCGTGCACCGGATGCCCAAGCCCGCTGGGGCGTCGACGCAGACGTCGAGTGTGTCCGCTGGGACTCGCACGACACTAACTTCTTCTACGTGACCACCGACGGCGGCATGGTCTACCGCTACGATATGCGCAATGTCCCCGCCACCCCTGCCGAGTCCAAGCCCGTCTGGTCTCTGCAAGCACACGACTCCTCCGTTTCATCCTTCGACATCAACCGCTCCATCCCCGGCTTCCTGGTGACCGGCTCAACAGACAAGACCGTCAAGTTGTGGAGCGTCGAGAATGACAAGCCCACTCTTGTTGTCACGCGCAAGCTCGAGGTCGGCAAGGTGTTCTCTACTACATTCGCTCCCGACCAGGAGGTCAGCTTCCGGTTGGCGGTTGCTGGTAGCAAGGGTAATGTGCAGATCTGGGATGCTTCGACTAACGGCGCTGTCCGTCGTGCGTTTGTCTCTCGTCTGCCTGACCTTGCTGGTGAAGTCCAGGAGCGCACTGTTGGTATCAATGCTGATGATGATGAGTCTGATGATGACGAGGAGGAGGAGGGTGATGAGGGTGAGCCTCGTGGTGGTGATGGTTGGGAGTCGATGGATGAAGACTAGGTGGACACAGATACCCGTGGATCCTTACGTTTCATATGCGTCAAAAAATAGATTTGCTCTGGGGTTTTGCATGTTAATGACTAGTCTGTTATGAAGTTTTGGAAATATGAGAACAATTCCAATGACATCCAAATAAGTGTAGAAGTATGTTGTAGTACTAGCAAGCATAAGTATCTTATTGAAAATATCCAGTCTATGTTCTATGTCAATGAAGCAAGAACTGTATTCTTTGAAAAATGACAAATCTTGAATCTTGCATGTCAATCTTCTCGAGTGAATCTGTGCTAATTGGATACCACCCCCCTTTTATATACTTAAAATGGCAGAAAGAAGAAGTGCCCCCTAGACAGGAGCGGAGACAGTATATATTCCCAGCGGCACATATTCAATAAATATTTGAGGCAATGCACTCTACCATGACACGGTGCCTGGTTATTATCTTTCATCCGGATTATTGTTTGGGCAATACCTTGCAGGTTAACCTCTATACCATGTGGCCTCGGCTTGGTTCGATCATTTTAGTGGACCCACATACACAACCTTATTCTAAACCAGACCCCATGTGATGTGATGTACATTGTATCTGAACCCGCCGCTTTTCTTAGTATAAAGTATGATACATGGCCTTGTTTTCCCTGGGGGTTTCCTCCGGGATTAACGGCAAAGGGGTGGAGTCCGGCATATATCGGCTTGAGCATCTCTTATCTGTTTTCCATTGGTCATCAAGAACTATATGGCGACCTTGGTCTCTCTCGCTTCCCTCAATGGCTAGCCTAGTAATCAGCTGACTCTCTAGCATAATTACCGATACCATCAACCATTTCGATATTCTAGAGGACCCAGAGGTGTGCGACGACGATACCTATTACCCCATACCAGCTCGAGGAAATGGAAGACTGTCAAAGTTACCTTTCTTCAAGATGATGACTTTTGATTAAGTAATGGCAAAATTTAGCCATTGAGGCCGAAAGAGTGAACTGACTGATAATAACTGCGGCGCCCGAAGGAAAAAAAACTCTCTACAGAAATACTATGTATTCTACAAGGCATCTAGACAGCAAGGCTTTGCTTGCTTGCTTCCAGTCAGTCAGACCTCTTTGTCACATGGAGCAGGTAAATGGCAGTAGGAAGATTCTATCTGGTTGATCGCTTCCTCATTTATTGGTTCCTATATAGAGATGCATCTTTGCACGTCCATCAGGAACCTTTGTAGGCTCGACCATACAATAAATATATATATATATATAATATCTTTAGCTTTTTTGGTTGTGAGATGTATGCTCACTTATACCCTATGGTATGAGCGTACTAAATAATTGAACTATTGACTTTGAAATAGGAGCAAAAGAACGGAATTTCAGAATAAAATGGTAGATGCCTCGGACATCGATATCGTTAATCGCTACCTATCTCTTCTTGTTCTTTCCTAATTGTTTGAGCCTTTGGTTATTGGCTTTATGCTTAGTGACAACTCAGATTTTCTCTGAAAATAATATAAATTATCTCCTTGGTGTTCTTATGGAGAGTGGAATAAACAAGTCATACAAGATGGATACATGGCGCGTTTTCGATCTCAAGACTCAACCTCGAAAACACCGCCAAGCCCTATATATCAATGCATGACAACACTGATACAGTGTGTCATTTTCTGCAAAAACGGGACAATCTACCAAGGGGAATCAATTTAAAAAGATAGGATGAATTGGATTGATTTGAAAAAAATGAAAGATGAAACGAGCGGATGATGCGAGGACACGTTAAGGTGTCCTTATGAGTGGGGAAGTGGGGGTTGAAAGTCCCTAGTACAGGCAAAGAAATCACGACAGAAATGAAAATATATTATTTGGGATGCATGCAAAGTGAAAAAGGGGTATGAATCAATGTCTATAAGCTGTAGCCCCTACCCCTGGGATCCTGTGAGTTCTCCCTATGCTTTATAGTCACTGACGCGATGCCAGCCATAACGGCTATTGGAGCTTTCTGTGGCACCCAGCAGATGGTAATCATAGAGAGCAAAGACGAACTTCAATATCTCCTGATAAAGTTGCTTGCATAAGGGAGTATAAGCAGACATAAAGAATTCGAGGCCGTGGCAATAGGAATTCAATCTCCGGACCACTGTCTGCAATGCTTCTTTTTCGTCGTGTCCGCTCTCTTGCATACTCACTCTGACAAGATTCAAGCCGACAGAGCCGTCACAATCTTGCTTGAGAGAATCAAGGTCCTTCTGCAAGCCAATAAAGTCATGGAAAAGAGCAACAAGGATGGAAAGCTGAACAAGACCCGGATCATCCGCGTTGTAGAGGTCAACCATAGGTGTCTGCAAAAAAAGAAGGAAAACCATATTGGTACCGATTGTATAACCCCTGGTTGACATGATTTGGTGGGTCGTCGGTCGTTTGAAAAAGATCTTTCCCTCCTCATATTGATTATCAAAGAAAAGGCAAAGTGTCTCAGAGCACTTCTGAACGTGACTTTCTTCCAGCAATGCTCTTTTAAGTGGCATTAGATCCTCAGCGAGAATCCTTTGCACGTCGAGAGCCACCTGGAGCAGATCATCAGGACAAATTCCCTTGTATTGATTCAGATCTTCAATAGGAAGATCCATTGTGATATTCTTGAGGTTTTCGAGATATTTTCTCTCCATGGTATCGTGCAGTCCAAGTAACGGCAATCTTTCACAGACTTCATCCATGAGGAAAATCCAGACAAGGTGATGGTGAAGCAGAGTTCTTCGCTCGTAACTCAAATCTATCTGGAGAGAAGAAAGACGAGACATGCTGATTGCTAAACGCTTGAGCGACTCGCTAAAGCACGGGAAAAAGCGCCACTCGCATATGTCGACAGCAAGTTCATTCTCAATTTCCGAGTTGAAGACAACGTCCAGGTCTGCGGGGAAATATACCGCGCAAACATCCGAGCAAAACTCCATGGCTTTCTGAGCTTTCTCAAAATCACTTGAGAACTTTAAAGTCAAGTTACTCCTGTTATTTCTGAAGCCAGCCGAGTCGCAATCAACATATGGGGGCAAGTGAGACTGGGCATTATCATGGATGCATTCAGACCCGTGCTGCCCAGGAGACATCTGCTGGGCCATTTCTAGTTGCTGACCTAGAGATCTCTGAGTTGGAGAGCTAAACACAAATCGCCGATCAATAATGATAACTTTTGGATTGTCTCCAAGCAAAAGACAAAAACGAGAAAAATAACAGGGAATCCTTCCCGAAAACTTTTGTCGCAAGAATGTTGAATAGTATACTGGGTACACCAAGCAGCATATAAGATATGGGATTGGAACTATAACAAAAGTGCCAGGAATGAGATTTTAGAATTGTCTTATCTCTTCATACCTGGAATTGAAGCTATATTTATGGCTTCTCCCCCCCTGTAGATACATGAAATCCCTCATTCATTTGTAAGAGAAACAGAAGAGAGCCTGGTATCTCTTGATCTATCAGTTTCCATTTGACCGAAAATAGGCAGAACTAGAATGCCAAATTGTGATTCGGGAAGATACAGTTTCTATGCAGGAACTGGTGATGAACGTGTGCGCTAATCTCGATTCCGCAGGAGTTCGTTGTTCTTGGCATGTACGGAGTAGAGATTGTCGAGTTAGGGTTAGCGTTGAATTCCAATACCATGTTGATCATGAAATTAACTAGGGTTCTCAACAAAAATCAACTGCCAAACAAAATTCACGTCGCAGGATTTTGTCACCTTGGCTCTAGGTATGGTCAAGTTGGCTGGCAGAGGCAAACTGAAGGAATTATAAGGAGGGTAGTGATCAGTCAAGTCTCGTTTTTCTCTCGTTGTTAGGTGTTTCCAAGCAGGAGGCACAACGGACAGAATAGTAGCTTGGTCTAGCGCAAGGTCTGACGCAAGTTCTGACGCAAGTTCTGACGCAAGTTCTAGCATTATGACTCGCAGGATCCAGGTGGCGGTTTATTGATCGTGTTGTTGCTGGAAACCGGTTCAAGGGTTAAGACGAATAACCTTGGAAGAGGACGAATGTTATCAGGAACTGTTTTTCGAAACGCAGAGTTCCAATCACAGTCATCCTAGACCTAACCCCGCTTTGGGCAAGTAAGAAGGGCTCACAGAGTGGGGTGTCTTGCTACACCAAGCACCACCGAATAGGACCCCACTACTCCGTACGAGAGCGATAATACCATCACACTATATGGATTCATCTCATCGACCAGCAATGAGTCCAATAGACCAATAAAATCGTTAGGATTTCCCTCCCGCCGCAACTCAAGGAGTGAGGTAGACAATAAAACACCTAGTGAACGAGCGGGTCCAGAAGGTGACCCAGATAGAACCAGGTGCGGTAATATCCATAAAGTGTCGGCGATTCAGTCTAGCCAATGGGTCTGCGAGCTATGGCCATGAAAACACTGACTTCAATCTAAGGACCAGTGTCAAAGCAATAGCTCACGGGAAGCCTAATGTCATTCCATCAGAGAAGCATCTTCGTCAACCGCATAATGTGGGACAGCTATAGGGGCCAAGTTCTATATTATATTCGACTAGTGGTACTACAACTAGCCCTCGTCTGTGCTTTATTAGAGTTCCTGATCAATATGATTGCTCGAGAAATTGGAATTTTGCCCGACTTGTAGCTTGATAAAATCTAGAGACTCAAGTAGACGACCTGTCTAGTCTCGCCTTGCCAGCCAATTGGCTATATGACTATGTGCTGCGTCTCTTCTGATCACTTTAAATTGGCTATTGACCTCATGAAAATCGAACCAGAAAATGTCCAAAGCCATAAAGCTCCGCGACCCTTAACTGAAAAAAGTGGTTACTAGTATAAGAGGATGTAGAACCGCCAAAGCCAATATTCAAAGCCCGGGGTTACACCTGAGCTAGAGAGCGGACAACAAAACAACCCAACCTAATAACGAATACTAATCTTGGGGGGTTATTTTTTCCTCAAAAATAAAAGTAATCTTGGCTTAGGGCTACAAGGCACCCATTAATTTATTGAAGAGGCAAAAAGATCTGGACTCGCGGGGAATCGAACCCCGGACCACTCCCATGCTAAGGGAGTATTATACCACTAAACCACAAGCCCAGTTGATTGGTTGTTCGTGAGAAATAGTGCATTAATAGCCAGAGCGACCCTGGTCGTGAGGCAAGGACTAGGAGAGTAATCGTGCCAAGCGTCCAACACATCTATGGATGTCCCAGTCAACGATAAATTTTGAAATTAGATACCTTTTCTATGGTCTGCCTATACAAAAGGTACTTAATGTATAAAATTCATAATTCTGGTTTTCTCATCCCTTGAACTTGCTGAGGAATAAATAAGAGTGCCAATGAATAATACAAGTATGATTACATCGTTTTAACACTAAGATCAATTATAATTAATTAATATATAAGTGTAAGAAATATATCGAAAAACACCATATAAAAAGATTGTATATCGAACTTTGGTTATGTATTCTATTACTTTAATTGTTTCTTGTCTATATTAATACCAGGATAATACCAAACTAATTGAAACCCTTTCATATAATATATATAGACGCATGATCTCCGTAACTATATAGGGGGTTGAGAAAAATAGATATCGTGAATTCTGTATCATATGTACCTTTCGTATAGGCAAACCATATAAAAATCACCTAATTTCAAAATTTATCGTTGACTGATAATTATCGTTGACTGGGACGCACCAACATAGGATAGGGTAGGTGTGTTGGGCGATTACAGAATTCTACGCGCAGAGTCGAACAGCCCACTTCGCAGCAGAAACATACCGCCTGCCTATTTTAGACAAAATAACTAGTGGCTCTGTAGACCGCCTACTATATTTGGCTAGTGTGCCCAGGCAGCCACTATACTTGGCCAAAAAGAGAGCCCGAGAGCGTCCAAAAAGAGACGCCGAACTCCTACTATTACTATTGTAGATAGCTAACTAATCATTATTTAAACCCCCCTCTTACTAACTAGGTAGGCCCTTTGCATCAGTATCATTTTCACAAAAATATGGAGGCTAGTTTCCAATCCGCTATCGACGCTGGCAAGATCAATGGCGCTGTAATCTGTGCCACTGATGCCGAAGGCCACTTTGTCTACAACAAGGCATTGGGAGAGCGCACTCTACTCTCAGGCGAGAAAAAGCCACAGCAGCTCGACGACGTGCTGTACCTAGCCTCAGCCACCAAATTGATCGCAACCATCGCCGCTCTACAGTGCGTCGAAGACGGCCTGTTAACTCTAGACGGCGATCTGTCATCCATCGCCCCAGAGCTCGCTGCAAAGCATGTTCTCACCGGCTTTGCCGAAGATGGCAGCCCAAAGCTCGATCCACCAGCCCGCCCTATCACCCTCAAAATGCTGCTCACACACAGCTCCGGCACCTGCTACTTCTTCCTAAACCCAATGATCGCCAAGTGGCGCACGCAGTTCGCCAATCCCGAGAACGAAGACCCTCGCTCCGTCGAGGAGTTGTTCAACTACCCGCTCAGCTTCCAGCCCGGTGCCGGCTGGATGTACGGGCCCGGTCTAGACTGGGCTGGTCGCGTGGTGGAACGTGTCACTGGCGGCACGCTGCTGGAATTCATGCAGAAGCGTATCTTCGACCCGCTCGGTATCTCCGATGCCCAGTTCTACCCTGTTACCCGTGAGGACCTGCGAGCCCGTCTCATCGACCTCAATCCCAGTGACCCCGGTGCTCTTGGTAGTGCCGTGCTCGGCGGTGGCGGCGATATGAACAAGCGGGGCCGTGGTGACTTTGGTGGTCATGGGTTGTTCATACCTGGTTTGGATTTTGTTAAGGTTCTGCGCTCGCTGCTGGCTAATGATGGCAAGTTGCTCAATGCTGCTACCGTGGACAATATGTTCCAGCAACACCTTGGCCCTGAAGCGGCGGCGAGCCACAAAGCTGCGCTTGGCGGTCCTATTGGGCCCTCTTTCCGTGTAGGCACAGACCCGGAATCGAAGGTTGGGCATGGCCTGGGTGGTTTGCTGACGCTTGAGGATGTTGATGGTTGGTATGGTGAGCGGACTTTGACTTGGGGTGGCGGCTTGACACTCGCTTGGTTCATTGATCGAAAAAATAACCTCGCCGGCGTCGGTGCTATTCAGGCTGCGCTGCCGGTTGATGGAGACTTGGTCGCTGAGCTAAAGCAAACCTTCCGCCATGATATTTATCACAAATATACCTCGTGGAAGGGTGAACAGTAAATATAATTGACGAAAAGGGAAAATTGTGTCTCAGTTATCGTTTGATACATACTGGATTTTAGGCCGCGCTCCACTCCACCTCAAGGAGCCCAAGCTGATTTCTTTATCTCCTTATACTTCTCTGCAAGGGTGTGATCGTAGCATATTCGCAACCAGACTGGCTTCCAAACACTACAGAAGCCGAGGCTCATGCTGCGCTCTGCGAGGCTCTGGTTATTACCGAAAATCCGTATCGCTTCATCTTCACTTGCAGCAGGCGTGTCTTCTGGCTCGGTTCGTTTGTAGTAAGGCTAGCAAGAGGGGAAGTTCACTGTTAACCCCTTTCGCCTTAGAAGAGCGGTAGCTGTACCCAACGTTCAATCAGAGTCAAGCGTTAGTATTCCCATGCTAACTTCTCCCACTGGGCTTTGCTTCCCTCCGGTATCAGGTCAGCCTCGCTGTCCCATTTTTCCTGAGGGTAAGTCAGAGATACCGACGGTCACCGACCCAATGGCAAGGGAACAAACCAAAAAAATAGATCGAAAGGCAGACGGCCGAAGCGAGCCCCTTCTTTCAGTGGGGCCATAAGTCAAGTTCTCATTAGGGGAGCTCAGCGAGAATACGGAAGGATAGTAAGAAGAAAGTGTACAACGTAAGTGCCCCCGGGGACATTGCTGTTTTCCACATTCCCACTAGACCAATCCATCGCCAAATGCCACTTGACCCTGGTACAACACGGCATATCATAAGACATACAACTGCGGTTATTGTGAGTCTATCTGGGCACTGACATACGAGGATCTCGTGTCTGCCATGCGCTTCACCTTCTCCACATCGAACCATAGTGAAGCCCGCCTTAGATGCATGCCATATGAAAGATGGATTTAATAACAGACAAAAACAAAGCTAAGTGGCTTTTAGAAGAGTAATCAAGCAAATTTGAATGTCTATTGTACAAGAGACCAACCTACGGCAGGCCAAAAAGAATATTAAATAGAAAGAGGCAGAAAAATCACCACATGAAGCGCTGAATCTTTCCAGGCTCCTGCGGCCACTCAAAGCCCTTGTACAGGAAGACATAGCCGGTGATCAAATTGATGATCAAGAACCAAGCCGTCTCCACGAATTTTGGTAAGTTGATAACGAGGTCAGCGCGGCGCTTAGCTTCCTCTGTACGGGGCCGAGTCTCTCGGTCTCTCAACAGACATGGCAGAGGAGGAAGATGCACCCGCCACATAACCCACGGAATGATAAAGTATCGGGGCTCGACGAGGGGCGCAGTGATGAGAGACAGGGAAGTAGCGGCCAGCCAAATAAGGACGAAGCTGACGCGCGGTGCCTCCAGTATATCTCTCTGCCGCGCGGAGATGTGTTCCTGGACCCTAGCCAGGACTGCGGGATCATTTGGATCCGTAACCTCTGCTGGTGGCTCAGTCTGACTAGTCTTCTTGGTCTCTGCTAGTGACTCGGTCTTCTTGGTCTCTGCTAATGACCCGGTCTTCTTGGTCTCTGCTGGTGGATCAGCCTTCTTGGGCTTCCGGATGGGCTTCTTCGTTCCCTTTGGTGGCTGTTGGTGCGCCTCTAAAGGCTTGCGCACATAAGACGAAGTGGGTTTGGGTTCTTGAGCTGCTACGGCCGGAGTCGGAGCAGGAGCCGGGACAGGAGCTGGAGCCGGGGGCGCAGCTGGGGTAGATTTCTGAACACGCAGGGTTTTGGGCGGACGTTGGATGGTGGTAAATCCAAAGGCTGAGATCACGACCCATCCGCAGAGGAAATAGATTGGCACTGCAGCATACTTGACTGCTGGGTGGAGTAGAAGAATGCGGAATACGTAGAACACATAGTGTCGGTTATCAGCAAGGGTGAAAGGGTGCACGATGGTGTTGAAGTGGACGACGGCAAGCATAAGCGGGATCACAATCAGAGCTGCCTTGAGCTTGGGATATTTTCTCTGTTTCGCCTGGAAGCCGAGGTTCAAATATTTAGGGAGTGGCTTGAAGGCGAGAATATTGATCAGAGGAATGACGAAAAGAGGCCACGAGAAGAAGGTGAAATACGGCCAGATGTAGAGCATCTGAGCTAGGTGGATACCCGCGGTATGGAACTCTTTGTGACCTATTGAATAGCAGCTGTCAGTAAAAAGCGCATTTGATGTATTAAAACAAGTCACTCTTACCTAGGACGACCCCGTTGTTCCAAAGTACAAATGCACCAAAGGCCGCAAGGACGAGGATGTGAGGAATGAGAGAAACGAGCAGAGAGAAAGGCTGCTTCAGGCCGACAGTCGCAAGTGAAATAGCAGTCTTCAGGTAATCTATATCTTGGGTTAGAATGGTCCCCTTCTTGCTTATATATATTCAACAGATCAATTTACCTTCCAAGGAGGCCTCTGAAATGAGAGGATCATATACCTCATTCTGCAGACCTTGCTTCACAATAGTTGTCACTTTGGATGACATGCAAGGTGACGCAGACTTTCGAATCTTGCGGACCACCTGAAGTCCCCCTAGGAAAACCGAGACCCAGAAGATATTGGTCTGTCGAAAGGCTAGTGCAGCTAGCGCAAAAGCCAAGAATCCCAAAGTCTCAAGAATCTCGTTGCGAGGTGCTTTTTTCGTGTCTTTTCCGGAGCCGCTTTTCTGGTCTCTCTCTGCATCTCTCTTCAGGTCCCAATTGTATGCCTCCACGACAACCAGCAAAGCAAGAACATCGGTGTAGTAGAGGCCAGAGAAGAAGAACAGCGGGGGGAACAAGCAAATGTTCAGCACGGTATGAGACACATTCGCTCCCAACGGCCGAGTATTTGTCGTTTTCTGTAAGGTATCAAGCAGCTTTTGCAGTCTCCAGGGGAAAACAACTGTTGTTGCGCCGACGTTCGTCATGCGCAGGACCTCCGGGGTGAGCTTTGTCGGGGACCCGCGTAGCAGCAACACAAGAGCGAAGACGATGTATGAGCACAAATACAGGCCCGGCGGTGTTGTAAGCTTTGGATCCCATTGCGTCCACTTATGCGCCCAGTATGCTTGTGCTTGCGGGACATGGAAGACTTCGTCGAGGTAGGGTTCTGGGACAGCCTTGTTGACAAGACTTACCCAGAGAGGAATCAAGATCAAGAAAAACGGAACCAACCAGCGAGCACTCCGGCTGCGAAATGATTCTGGAGGATTGGCCATGCTGTCCAAATAATCATCTGCAAGCAGGAAGAGTTAGCAGACAAGCTCCAATCCATCGACCAACGGGTCCCAGTCGGAGATTGCGGAGCTCGACCGATGCAAACGTTCCAAACCTTTTAAACGTTTCGAAGCCATCATCTCGACGCGACTTGAAAGAAGACATTTAATAAAAGACAATTGAGCATTTAAAGAGCAGAGAAACGGTCATCAAATAAGAAGAAGAAAAAGAGAAACGAAAGGAACGCAAAGCAAACGGTCAAGACCACGATCAAGACGACCTATATCATCCCAAGAAAAACGATGAGATCGCAACTCTCATAACAATTCAAATCGCCTTCACCTTCCTATTATTCACACCTTCAATGGCTTTCCCTCTTCCTCGGGGCGTCACGGCCTCAGAGATCGCCTTTCTGGCGGAGATGGAAACAGTGACAATTGTGCCTCGCCAGCGTCTAGAAGGCCTCGAACTACTAGGAGTGAATGCGCCTCTAAACTGCTTCATCTGAACTTTCGAAAAGCTAACCATCCACAGGGCCCCATTGAACCTCTCGTCCCACCCCGACGCGCCTCCCTCCCCCTCTGGCTCGCCCTCCTCCTCAAACGCCAACGCCGCGCAAACATCATCCCACCAACATGGCTACACCCAGAGCCATTAGCTCTCATCCTCGAAGTAGAGTCCCAGCACCAAGACTATAAGAACGCCTTCTCCCCACCTCCTCCCCTGCCTGGTCAACCCAGCATTTTGGACCGCGATACCCTGCCATCTGCTCGGCCGCAGTATACCCCAGATGGCAATCGGTACTATGCAGCGCCGCCTTTCCTACCTCAAAATACAGCCCAGACCACGACGTCTTCGCGGGATCCACCCTCACTGCCGTTCCACTGGGTTGAGGTTGGGAATCTGCTACTGGATGCCGCGAGCGATGATCTCGTGGACCCGGATCAGATTCGGAGACTGCTGAAGGATCTGCGCGAGGTGCGCATGGCGAAAATGAGGTCTGGTGTCGATGTTCTGGATGCTGCGGCGACCGGTGGCGGTGGTGTTGCTTTGACGGGTGTTGGTTCCATGGAGCTGGGAGAGGAGCGAGGGTTTGTTACTGGCGTGGTGGATGGTCTTCGGTATGTTTATCTTGTTCTCGGATACCGAGTTTATGGGTTTATAGGAAAATCTGTTGCTAACTGGCTCATAGGAGAATTGGGTCCTCCAAGGAGCAGGCTCGACGTGAACAGATGGCCGAGCAGAGAGCAAATGGTGGCTACGATGGGACCCAGGACGATGAAGAAGAAGATTACATGGAGTTCTAAGCATTTGAGATATTTTTTTGCCTGTTTTGGGGGTATCTTTCATTTGGAGTTATTCAGTGCATATGTGACGCAGACCAATGCCCAAAACGACGTTCATGTATATAATCCAATATACCCTCCGGATCCAATGACCAACGGTTATAATCAAAACTGTTCCAATTTAATTAACACCATACAGCATGCGAACGCTTTAATACAGGAATGATGTCGCGAAACAAAACCGAAAGAATGGAGAGGGTATATCGGCGGCCCCCAGCAAACACTGGTGCCGGGTTTGACCAGGTTTATCGACGTCAAAAGCAGTGTACAGAAAGTCACATTGTCGACAGGCGAGCGGGACAATTCTCATATCATTGGACATCGCCCTGATTCTTTTGCATCATCTTCCTCCGCGCGGCCAAGATCATATCATCCCGACGCTTTTGCAGTATCCGCTGGCGCTCTTCCTTATTCTGAGACCAGGAGGACTTGGAAGGTGTTTCGGGTTGTGAATCTGCAGCAGGGCTTTCGGCCTTTGCACTTAGATTATACCGAGATATCAAGTCCTGTGCGTTTACTTTGGGTACGGAGGCGGCGGCCGTGGCGGTCTGTGTCGGCGGGATGTTGGTGGGGGGGACTGCGACCTGAGGTTGGAAAGAGGGAGGTGGCTAAGAGATTGGATTAGCTAATGCCTTCATATCAATTCAAAGTTGATGTTTGAGGCTTGCAACACAAGTCGCCTTGTCTTGGAGAAGACCGAGGCGGGGAAAATGAATGAAGGTATCAGCGTAGCACGTACCGTTTCCAGGCCTCGTCCAGTCAAAACCCTCTCTGTCGTTGCGGCAACACTTCCTCCATTACGCTGCAGATCCCACATTATATCCCGAGTGCTCAGTTGAGGGAACATCTGCGCGATCTGTTCCACCTGCGCTGGATCGACGACATTGCCACGCCCCCGACCTCGGCTTCCTCCCGCGGAGCTTTCATCGCGATTAAAGAACCATCGGAGCACAAAGTATGATACAACCGCTAGAGTGAGAAGCGAAGGTATGTTCAGCGAAGGTTCCTCGTCTGTCATCTTGTGTTGGCGGAGCCCAAGTTGAGTCAGGCGTTCAGGGTCCCCGGTGACGGTATCTGATCGTAACGGTACCGAGAAAGACAAGACGTCGAGTTCTATATGAATTTGTATAAGCGATTTCCAGGTGAGCTCGGGTATTGGCACAATGGGGGGGAAATTCAATAAAATCGCAATGCGCGCTGGAAGGTGCCACGGCTCAGGTCGAGAACCGGGCACGTGCCGGGTATCGGAGTTTCCGAGTTTGGAAGTTTATCTTTAACGTTGACACTTATATGGACATATTGCGCACTTATATTGTACATTTATACTTATTGTATAGTGATGAAGAAAGTGAAATAGTCTTTACTATGCATAATTCATAAGACAGAGATCCATTCCCCATCCAAAAACAACCGAACACCGAAGGCCAGACATAATAATCTCACTCCACCGGACCAGCACACCAAGAAAAAACCTATAGACAACCAAGTTTATGTGCATGCTTATTTCAAATCCGCAGGGGTTAACGCCTGAACAATACTTGTACCCTCGCTGAACCGCGTGCGGAAGATGCGGTTGGCGTTTTGGAACATGCCATCTTTCAACGAGACAACGATGAACTGAGATCCCTTGAAACGGGTCTTGATCAGTCGACCGATGTTCTGCGTGTGTGACAAATCCAGCGCAGCGTCGACCTCGTCCAGAATGTACATTGGCGCGGGCTTGAATTGCAAGAGCGCCATGATCAATGAGAGAGCAATGAGTGAACGTTGGCCACCACTCAGTTCTGTCAGACTCTGCTTCCAGACCTTGCCCAGGGACACCTTCACTTCGAGACCATCTGTGATGTCTTTGCCCTCAGGGGGGTCGAGCTTGGCAAAACTTCCCGGTAGGAGCTCGTTGAAGATCTGTCCAAAGTCGCCATTGACCTTGACCCATGTCTTGTGGAGAGCTTCCTTTTTGTATTCGTTCAGATTCATGATGGTCTCCTCGATCTTTCGCTTGTCACGAGTGACTGTCTTCATCATGTTCTTCAGAGCAGCCTCCTTCTTCTCCACGCTGTCGATCATGTTCATGACCTTCGGGTTGATCTTCTTTTTCATGCCTTGGGATCGCTCTGTCAAGTTGCGTAGGGTAGACTTGCACTCAGCAATGTTCTGGTTCTGGAAATTATAGGGAGTGTTGGCGCGTCCGAAATTTTCTTTCTCGTCTGCAATCCACTCATGTTCCTGTTCCATGTGAGCCACAGCCTGACTAGCAGTGTGCTGATCCTTTTGGAGCTTTTCGAGCTGATGGCCAAGCTTCTGCGCTTCTAGTCCATCCTCGGTGATCTGAGAGGATTTGTTCTTCATGGCTTGTTCTAACTCTCGCAATTCCTCGTCAAAGCCGGTCAGTTTGGCCCTCTCGTCATCAAGATGAGCCTGTGCGATATCATGTGCATCCTATAATTGTCAGTTACATGATTATTGAGAAGTGTTGGAAGGGAATCACATACCTTCAGCCGCGCTTGCTCTCGTTTTTGTGATTCAATCTCTTCTAATTGAGCACTGAGGGTGTTATCTGACTCAACCAATTGTTCTTCAGCTGCGGATAAGTCGCTTCCGACTTGTTCTGAGTCTAGTCTGGAAGTCTGCAATTCCTTCTGCAGCTCTTTGGCCGAGCTAGAAATTTTGGTAAAGCTCTTCTTGAGTTTATCGAGGGTAGTTTGCAGTTCTTCCAACTTGCTATCTTTGTTGTTGCTGAACTCGCTCATGTCTTTCTCAATTCGCTTGATATCCTTGGATGCTTCGGCCTGGCGAGACTTGGCGTCGATGATGTCTTTCTTGAGTTGTTCAATGTTTGCTCTCATCTCCTCAACAGCTTGAATGATCTACTTCGGGTTAGTTGCAAATTGCGGAACGGATTAAGAGCAAGACATACCGAAGACGAAGAGTTGCTGCTAATTTGCTCCTCTGTAAGCTTAATCTCGTGGTTCTTGAGATCCAAATTTTGTTTGATAGAGCGAACGGAATCGAGCTTCTTCTTTTCCCTCTTCATGTGATCTTCCAAAGTCGCGAGCTGTCGTTCTTTGCTCCGCAGCTCCTTGGTGATATCATTGAGCTTTTGCAAAGTAACGAGAACACCGCTGGAATTAGGGGAGCTTCCACCGGAAAGTGTTCCGGAAGGATCATACACATCGCCCTCCAGCGTGACACTCTTCATCCGAACTGATGGATCAAATGTTACCTTCTTAGCTGTGTCGGCATCTTGGCAGATAAGGGTGTTGCCGAAGACATAGTTCATCGCAGCCAGAACTTCCTCATCGTATCCAACCAATGATAGAGCGAGGTCAACCTTTCCAGGGGCAAGGTTTTGTGCAGCTCCGATCTTTTCCACGGAGGCCTTGAAGGCAGAAATCTTATTAAGGGGGATAATAGTCACACGCTTGCGCAGCTTGCCTTTCTGAAGAAGCTGAGTACCGGTCTCTGCGCTGTCCACGACCACATTGTAAAGGCGACCACCAGCGCAAATTTCTAGAGCTGTCGCAGCCGGAACTTGATCCTTGTTGAGGGTGAAAAGTTGAGCAACTAAGCCCTTGACCTTGGACCGGTCAAAGTTGGGATGAGGGTCTACGTAGTTGAAATCGATGTTCGCTGCCTGTCGCTTGAGCCCATCCGCCCGCTGGCGGAGGTCGCGAATATCCCGTTGAAGCTCGGTCTGCTCCTGGTATATCTGCTCCTCCTTCCCAGGCTCAAATCCAAGCCGAGTCAGCTCGGACTCCAGCTTGTTAGCTTGCGACTTCAACCCTTCGAGATCACGCAAAAGTCCCAAGTTTTGCTCCTTTGCCTTCTTTGCGCGAGGCTCCTCTTCCTTGATTCGCTTCTCAAGATGGTTGATTTTGAGCTTTCCTTGCTCTTGTTCTGTGGCGGCATTGCTTGCGCGGTTACGGGCGTCTTGCAATTGACCCTGGTAACCACTCTCTTGGCCCTCCTTTGAGGCAACACCAGTTTGCAATGTCTGGAGTAGTTCCTCCTTTTGCTCCACTTCCACATTTTGTGCGTCTAACTCGGCCTTGGCGGTATCGTACTGGGCCTGTAGCTTCTCGTAGATTTTGCGCTTCTCCTTCAAGACTTTCTCAAGATCAGTGACAGTATTTTGAATAGTCTGTCGTTTCTCTTTCTCTTCGTCCATGCTTGCATTCTTCAGATCAAAGACCGTGGTCAGTCGGACTAACTCGTGCGAGTAGTTCTTGACCTCGTCTTCAAGCCCCTGGAACTTGCCGCCTTTCCGGAGTTCCTTGTCGCGAGCTGCGCGCACTCTTTTCACGTCTTCCTCAAGATGAGCAATTTCATTCTTGAGTTTGTTCGCGTTATCTCCGAGTGCTTGTGCTTTGTTGCGTTTGTTTTCGCACTCCTCGCCTGCAATTCTTAACCGCTCGCCGCCACGAACATAGTCATGGGCAACAACAAGTCGGGTCAAGCGCTCGAGGTCGTTCTGCGTCTGTTGGAAGTCGAGGAAAGCTCGCTTCTCCGACCGAAGCTTCTCGAGCTTAGGCTCGATCTCTTCCTTCAGCAGTTCTTCGATCTCGCGCAGCTTCAGCTCTTTCTTTCCCATTGTCCTGTTTGCCTTTTCTCTTCGATCCTCAAACATTCGTGTACCGGCTGCCTCCTCGATCATTGACAGGATCTCGACCGATTTCATGTTCAGGACTTTCGTAATGCGACCTTGCATAATGAGGAAGTTGGGGTTATTGATGTTCAGCTGGACACTCTGGAACAGGTTCTGAACAGTTTGTTGTTGTGCGCGGTGGCCGTTGATTAGATATTTGCTTGTACCGCCGAGCACAATCTGTCGAGTGACAGAGATATTCGCATATTCCTCGAATCCGATCGGCGACTTCGCGGTATCCCGGTTATCGAAAACGATTGTAACACTAGCTTTCGTGACTCCGGCTTGGCCGCGTTTGTAGATGAGATCTTGGAGGTTTTGCGCGCGGACTGTGGTCATGTTCGTGATACCAAGCACGAAGCAAATGGCATCGAGAATGTTGGATTTGCCACTGCCGTTCAGGCCAGTGATCGAGTTGAAGGCTTCGTCCCTACATTGCGCAATTAGTAAATTTGGGCACTCCCAGACTGGGCCAAAGCCATGTTGTAATTCATGCTTAAACGCGCAGGATTACATACCATCCCGAGATCACCGTACGCACAGCGTACGATTTGAAGCCCTGATGACCTAGTTAGCGCAGTGAATAGTGATGGAGCAATGTTGAGACTCACATCTATGACAATTTCAGTAATCCTCATGGTTGCGACTCCGAAACGGCGTTCTGCTCGTTAGCAGAGTGCATAGGTCTGCCAGATGGGAGGTGGAGGGGATTGATTGTTTTGCCGCAGCCGCTGTTGATGGTTTGCCCATTTGGGACTAGCGTCTTTTTGCTGATGTCAGCGCGGGGGCTTTGTTATCACGTGATATAGAAGTATGGAAAAATGGCACTCAGCGACGAGAGAGTAAATCTCTCCGTTCGCTAGAATTTGTTTAGTAAATGACATTCTGAAGCTTGGTTTTGTAGACTTGATGCTAAATGTTTGCCAAGGACTTCGCCGCTTTCACTTTGACCCTACAGGACCATTCTTTTTCCAATCCGCTCATAATAATGATCATGATCTACCAAGAGAGAACCTTGGTAGTTAACTACCTGCTGCGCATGATCTGCTGCTAACCAATCATTTCCATTGGTCATATCAAGCTACGGTGTAGCAAGGATCTTTGAGTTATTACATGCCCCTTGAACCTGCATTTCTAGAAATGACTCAAATCAAATCCACTCGCGGAGACATTCTCGGACACTTTCTATGTCGTACAACACTTGATAGCACGAGATCTATGGGAGCTCCAGATTAACTCCAGACTATTTAGAGGACGATTAAGACCCGGTTAAGACAATCATGCCATTATCTCAACTTCACGCAACATCACTCGAAGATTCCTTGTAAATCTTCATCTATCAACTTCAATAACCACAGTCCCCAACCACCTTACAGCTTTACCAACCATGTCCGACAAGCTCGAACTTGAGGCTCTCTTCAAGAGTGAATCCTATGCTAGCTCATTCAAACGCGGAGAGATGGTCACCCGCCCATTCGCAGAAATGCTAGTTGACCAGAGCAAGGTGGCCGCCGAGTCCAAGGCCAACCCCGACAGGCCTCTAGTGATCCTTGACAATGCCTGCGGCACTGGTGTCATCTCCAGCTCCCTCAATGACAAGCTTGATGACACTGTCAAAAAGACTTGGAAGCTGACCTGTGGTGACATCTCATCGGCAATGATCGAGTATACCACGCACCGCATAGAAGAAGAGGGCTGGCAGAACGCGGAGACAAAGATCGTGGATGCGCAGAAGCCTGATTTGGCTAGCGCTCAATTCTCTCACATCTTTACTGCTTTTGGTGAGTTGCTTTCTAGATGTACTCTGATCTGGTTTGACTGTGGCTAACTACTATGTTCCTTGTACAGCCTATATGGCTCTCCCTGAGTCTATTACGGCTCTTGATGGTAAGGATGCCCTTGGCTAATTTCCTATCATATCCAAGGCTAATAGAGATTACTAAAAGAAACCGTTCGAATGCTGCAACCCGGCGGGACTATTGCTTTCTCAACCTGGATCGAACGTAAGTATCGAAAATATTCTTTCAGATCATATTTACTGATATGAAACAGCCGGCTGGATCGGCGTCGCCCGAAGAGCAATTGAAAGAATGCCAGGCAACCTACCTTTTCCTGAGGCCCAACAGTTGATGGCGGTTATGACTGAAGGGGAATGGAACTCGAAGCTTTGGATCGAGTCCCAGCTCGAGGGGCGTGGGTTCCAGGACATCGACGTCCGGCCAACAACAATAAAGCTGACCCTCACATGCCCTGTCTTCCTGGAGATGACCATGTTAGTGCTTCCCATGATGATGAAGTCTTTCTGGACCGAGGAGCAACGGGAGGAGCACAAGGATAAGGTTGGTCCGGCGTTAGAGAAGTACTTGGAAGACACTTACGAGAATGGAAATATCCACACCGATTGGGTGGCTATTCTGTCCACTGCGCGCAAATCTTGCTAGATGGAGAATTCATTCAGATAGTGTCCTATGGATAGTGGGCTACAGCAATCTATCGCATTTTACAGCATTGTGACAAAATCATCCGGGCAATTGATTTTCAAATATCGTATCCTGGTTTCCCACATAGCCCGTTTAATACCAAAGAAATCAACGCGCCTTGTTCCCGAAGGCTAATGTACTATCGGCCATCCTCGAGCAATATAACACAGACCAGTAAACCGAACGCCATGGTTGATTGCTTGTATTCTGCGTGCGCCTAGGTCGTATCAACTTCAAATCATGACGCATGATGCACCACGCCAGGTGGGCGGGCGGCACCTCGGCTAGGATCCAGCCGGTTGTCCAAGTCTTCGTATCGAAGGATAAATTCACGCTGCAGCCACAGTTAGCTAAACCAGTTCTTTGGGTCCCAACAAAGGATGGAAGTTACTTACTCGAACCTTCTTCCAGGCGGAGGAATCCCACAGAAGATAAACGCCGCGTTCGGTCACACCGCGCTCCACATCGACGGGTCCAGGATATGTCTCATCGCGAGTTAGCCAGCAACGTTCAAGCTTGTGGTATCGCCATTTGCGGCCCATCAATTCCTCGGCCACCAGTTCCTGCATGATATCCCGAGGCATACTGTAAAAGATGAAAAAGAGGGTCTCATCGCTGAAACCGGGAATGCGAGACTGGAGGGGTTGGATATTGGCGACATTATAACATCCCGGCAAAGAGAAGTCTTGTTCCAAAGGGACTGCTGACATTGATGACACGAATGGTGAAGCAAACGATGTGTGCAAAGGCCTGTGCGGAGAAGCATATTAGTAGCTTTCAATAGTATGGGAACAAAGGAACTCATACTCCGCCTGATTTAAATCCAATCCTAGTGTCATCAGATCTTGGCCAACAGCGAGACTTGCAACATCAGGACTTTCGCTGTGAATCATGCGCAGCAGACCCGCCAACCCAAACCTGTCAAGCTCACTCATCTGTGCGAGGGGCGGTTGCTCAGTGCTCTGGGGCGCATTAGAAACATCTTGTCCGTCGTTATTTTCTGGCTGCCTTTGCTGTAGCTGTTGTGGATCGCTAAAGTTACGCTGGCCTGGAAGCACACCGTTGTTCAAGTCCTATTGTAGGGTTAGTGCCGCCTAAAAAGTGAATAATACTGTAAAAACATACTTCTTTCTCTTGTCCCAAAATGCCATTGGGCACTTGGCTGACTGGTGACCGCGGTGCTCCCAACCCAGTTCCATAGCCTCCAAAACCTGCACCTTGCATCAACGAACCAGTCCTGCCGAGAGGAAGCTCAGCAGCAGCATTGCGACCCAAAGGAGGGAACTCCTCAATATTGCCTGGCTGGGGCTGGCCACCCGCGCCGAGTTGGCTGCTGATACCCTGGCCACCATTTCTAAAGTCATCAAGTCGATTGGCAAATTGCGAGCCAGAAGGGAACATGTCATCATGCGATGGTTGAGATTGTTGAGGTGTAGGAAGACCCTGGGGTTGAGAGGGACGGGAGGGGGTTTGCGATGGCTGAGGGAGCTGTTGCCTTTGGACAGGTGTTTGCTGAGCAGCGCGTTGACTTGCGTTGGCCCACATTAGCTGACCGGGAGTTTGTGACTGTGATTGCTGTGATGCTCCTGATAGCGAAGGGAACTCCCTAGAATCACCGACTTGGTCAGTTCGGAGACAAATTGGAAGGCCTAGAGATACAGGAGACCACTGCAAACCATGGCAAAAGAGTACTCACGAGAGATCAAGTGGCGCCGCAGATTGAGATCCTCCAAGACTTTGCGCAAAACTTCCCATGGTCCCCATTGTGCGCTGCTGATTGCCTGGTAGGCCAGATGTTCCGCTAACAGGTAGATTAAAGCTCCAATTCGCACCGGCGCCTATTGATACTATCATGTTAGCATATTTTCATGAAAATAATCTTGAGTGTCCAGAAAGTATGACTCGAGGCAATCGCACCCAGTTTCCCGTTTGATAATCGCGCGGAAGCTAATGATGCAGTTCGAGCTTGTGCTTGCTGTTGCATGGGGAATCCAGACATGCCTCTCAGCGGCTGCGGGCCAAATCCTGACACAAGCGTGACAAGTCAGCACGATCGTCGCATCAAGAGCTGCTCAGATCAACACCACAGGAATGTGAGGGCATGTCCTTGCGAATGTCTCGGTCGCAAATGGAAAACCATCTGCACCAAGGCTTGCCATTGGACTCCCCGATGCTCCCGCAATATTGGGTAACTCTCGCTATCAACGAGAGTATAACCCAGCACAAAAAGCAAGTCCGACTGTATCAAGTATTCCGCGGAGGTAGGTGAAAGATAAGAGAGGCACAAGGGTTTGCGAAGGCATTGAAGGAAAATGACGAACCTGGCCTATTCATAGTCGATATGGCTTAAGAAAAAGATAATTCCCGATATCCCGGGGTGTGTCAAAAATTAGAAAAGAGGACTGACCGAGTAATAGACCGGAGGTGAATCTGTGGAGGGGAGTGCAATCCACAAAGGCCTCTTGGTCACGCTTGATGCGGCACTTCTCCGCCGAGGAGTCGATTGGGTAGTCAGACGCGCGGGTGCGAAGAAATGCACAGGCCAAGTCCGTACTTAACCGCGGTGTACGGAGTAAAGAGATAAAGATTAAAGATATCTTTAGGGATATGTATTTGAGATTTTCGTTTGCTGAATTAGAGACGGAAAACAGAAGAAACAAAATGACCTCAAAAAATAAAGACGTAAAGAACCCGATGAATCCGAGGCTGGTAACATCCCAGCTGGTCTTGAGTTGATCGTGACACGTGACTAGCCTTGCCGCCTTTGCGAAAAGAAAGGCCATCAATCTCCGACTCCGACCATCCTGGGGAAAGCCATCACAAACATGCAGCAGGTTCCACGCATTGCTAGCCGCCTGAGAGGGCTGGCCATGGCTGAATTGCCTCCTACCTATCTCGCGCCATCACTTCACCCTTCCGTGACCCTGTCAGCCATCCAGTCTTCGAGCTTTTCTTCCACTGCCTCCGTCGGCGCCAACCCTCGACGCGACAAGAGCAAAAATCGTGGTGTATCGGCCATCAATCGAACCGGTCCCCGAACCCCATTTGCCGTGTCAAGATGGCCATTGCCCAAACCTGTGTCGCCAAAAGATATGCAGCCACGTGAAACAAACCCCAACCATGGACTTTGGGCCTTCTTCCCCCCTAACCGGGAAGCATTGCCTACCCCATCTTATGACAACACTCATGGTTAGTTTTATGGGTTTTCAATCTGTAAAATGAATGTTCTATGGGCAATGCTAATGTTGGCAATCTAGGTCGTCAGTGGGGTATCCAGGAACTCCGCGAAAGGAGTTGGGAGGACCTCCACGGTCTGTGGCATGTATGCGTCCGGGAACGAAACCGCATTGCCACATCGGATTTCGAGAGAGAGAGAATTCAGGCTGGTTACGGTGGATTCGAATCTCAGGAACGCGACAAGGTGGTGAGTTTTTCCCCCGGCTGTATAAGCCGTCTCGTTCATCTATATATCTTGGAAAGAAGCATAAAGACTTTTTCTTCATTACTTCCGCGCCGATCATCAATTGGTTGAAATTGTCTGAACCTGATTGAACCTGACTGACCCATTTGATCATTTTTAGATTCGAAGCACCATGAAGAACATCAAGCACGTTCTACGTGAACGCTGGTATGCTTGGGAGGACGCCTCACGAATGTACAAGCGTGGATACCGCCCTGAGAACTTTTACGGGCTCGATGACGTTGAGGTCGAGCAGCAGGCCAATGAAGCAGCCCAAGGCAAGGAACAATAAGCATGAGAAGAGGTTTTAAACACACCCAGTCGAGGGAGACTTACGCCGAGTCTCCAAGGGTCAATTAAGTATGTAACATTAGCTTTTCGAGGTGATTTTAGTAGTGCGCATGTCAAATTATACATAGGATATATGAGAGATGGTTCATCATCTGACACTATAGACCTCCTTTAAATTATACCTGTAGCTAAGAATATCGTCAACTGATCATATTTACCCCTGAGATGAAATAAAAAGCATATAGTACGTATTCAGGGGTTCATTGAAGCCCAATTATCCCATGTCATTAATATCGTGAGGTAATTCACTAGTGGCGGATCCGTCAAATAGTTCCCCTTTCTTACCGCTTCGTTGATCCGCGGGGAGGTAGTCAACTTTCTCTTCTTCTCATATTCTTGAATCTTCTTTCTATCTTTCTCTACCCCTAATTATCTTCCATATTCATTATGGACGAGATCGCCCCAGAGTACGATGTTGTGGTGCTCGGCACTGGTATGTTGCTACCCCGCCATCCCCCCCAAACGTCAAGAACTGACCAATTTCTTTTAGGCCTGACCGAGTGTGTTTTGTCTGGGTAGGTCTTTGAGCTTGGATTTTATTTATTCCACCATTTTCTCATTGTTTTCGACTACAGTGTCCTCAGTGTCAAGGGCAACAAGGTCCTTCACATCGATCGCAATGATCACTATGGAGGGTAAGTCGGAGAAGCTCACGATGACGGCACCAAGATCAAAATAGCTAACAAAAGCCACAGAGAAGCAGCTTCCGTCAACATCGAAGCAGTATGTGCACCGATTTATTCCCAAGTTACCCTATTGACACCCTTTGCAGCTGTTCAAGAGATACGGAAATGTCAGCCCCGGCGAGGAGCCATGGAAGAAATACGGGAGAGTCAATGACTGGAACATCGACTTGGTCCCCAAGCTGCTCATGTCCAATGGAGAGTTGACCAACATTTTGGTGTCTACGGATGTGACCCGGTACCTCGAGTTCAAGCAGATTGCTGGCAGCTATGTCCAGCAGGGCAAGGGCCCCAAGGCGACCGTGGCCAAGGTGCCTTCGGATGCTGGTGAAGCTCTCCGCTCATCCCTCATGGGCTTGTTCGAGAAGCGCCGTGCCAAGAAGTTCCTCGAGTGGGTTGGTGATTTCAAGGAGGATGACCCAGCCAGTCACCAGGGTGAGTACTCTTGCAACTTTGGGTCAGTTCGGGGGTTCTTCAAAGCGGATAGCTAATCGAGACCAGGATTGAACGTCCACGCTTGCACGATGAAGGAGGTTTACGACAAGTTTGGCCTCGAGGACAACACTCGCGATTTCGTCGGTCACTCCATGGCTTTGTACCCCTCGGACGAGTATATCACCCAGAACGGCGCCGCCGTCGAAACCATTAACCGCATTCGCCTGTATGTCAACTCTATGGCACGCTACGGAAAATCCCCATACATCTACCCTCTCTACGGCCTCGGCGAGTTGCCCCAGGGTTTCGCTCGTCTGTCTGCCATCTACGGCGGTACCTACATGTTGAACACCGACGTCGACGAGGTGCTTTACGAGAACGGCAAGGTTTCCGGTATCAAGGCGACCATGAAGGACCGTGATGACCAATCCGAGGCCATGAAGTTTGAGACCAAGACCAAGAAGATCATCGCCGATCCTTCTTACTTCCCGAACAAGTCCAAGGTGACCGGATACTTGCTCAAGGCTATCTGTATTCTGAACCACCCTATCGATAAGACCGACAGCAGCGACTCTGTGCAGCTGATCATTCCCCAGTCCCAGGTTGGACGCAAGCACGGTGAGTTTTATACGGTCCCGATTTATTGACAGAGCGCTAACCTCTCCAGACATTTACATTGCCATGGTCTCTTCCGCGCATAACGTCTGCCCCAAGGGTTACTACGTCGCCATCGTGTCCACCATCGCCGAGAACGATGCCAACCCCCACCTTGAGCTTGAGGCTGGCTTCGAGCGTCTGGGCAAGGTAGAGGAGAAGTTCATGGGTCCCCCCATTCCTCTCTACGAGCCCATCGATAATGGCGAGGAGTCCAACATCTTCATCTCTAAGAGCTATGACGCGACATCACACTTCGAGACTACGACCGGTAAGCTATTCCATCATTGAAAATTTATGAAACGTTGGCTAATCATTTTTCCCAGATGATGTTCGTGATGTGTACCGCCGTGCCACTGGCGAGGAGTTGAAGGTTGAGGGTCTCCGGGAAGACCAGCAACTGGCCACTGAGTAAAAAGGCGTACTCGCCTTGACAATCGAATAATCTAATACTGCTTAGATTGGTTGATTATATTTCTCTTGGACATGTGCGATAGTCTCTCTGTTCTTTGTCCGCCTTCCCTTATCATAACAAACGAAGCACAATATTTCTGGGCACTACCACCATATATTATATCCTCTTCCCTCGTACAATGCATAGAATTTGCCAACTTTATTGATGCAAATGAGATCTATACAAATTGATCTTCAAGTAGCTGTCTCTAAGAGCCTGAATATCTATAGTGTTCTCCTACAACACATACCAAAAACCAAACCTAATCAAATCCTCTGCGTCACCTCCGGATCGGTATTGGCCTTCTCGTGTTCACCAATCACACAAATATCCCCATTCTCCGCCCTCTGAATCTCAGCCCGAAGCAAAGCCAACCTCTTCCCAACATGAATAACCTCACAGACAAGACGCGCCTCAGTCCCCGTAGGTACAGGTCGCAGATAAGTCACCTTGAGATTGCGACTAACACCTCCGAAAGCGAACTTGCCCGGTTCGGAAACACCCAACAAGATAGTCGTCGATAGAACATCAATCAAAGTAGCAGCACAACCTCCGTGGAGATTACCCATGAAATTGCTCAGCGCAGGAGTAACTTTAAACAGGAATGAGACTGTAGCCGGCGGACCGCGCGTTGCGGATTCGAAGCGGAGGTTACAATTGCGGGCATCGATGTCCCAGTGCTTTATTGAGAGAAGGGTAAGCGCTGGAACTCTCTGTGTACTGATGGTGCGTAGGGGAAATGCAGTTCAATGTATGTATGTTAATGCTGCACGTGGTACTTACTCCCTCGCTACCCACGCCCACTCGCGCTGTATAATCGTACACGAGCTCTTCGAACTCGTCCAGTTTCCTGGACGGAAGGGTTATGGCTTTAGTTGACATGGTACTTAGGTATCTGAAAGGAATGACAAATGCGAAAATTCAATGGGTTGGGAAGAATTGGAAGTCGAGGTAGTTAAGGCTAAGTACTCCGTACCACTTGCCGTAGCTCGGATTACACCCGGGGCCATATTGGACCTCGGCTGTGGTGAAGCCGACCATGAGGTATGCTTAAATTAGGGATACCTAGTTATGTTCATCTGTCTTTTATGATTTGAAGATACACACCAAAAAGAACGGGCTCGGGTTCTTTCTTCCCTCTGCTGAATCCATTTCCGTCCACCTTAACTGATGCAAAAGGTATTGTTGTTTTTGTGGAATTGTTCGAATCATCCCCTTAAAGGATTTAATCGTTCGGAGAGCACGAACTGCCACCCTCTATATCAAAAATGGCCTTTCCCCTTTCCACTCATTGATGCTCCCAACCAAGACGTACATTCGAATCATCTCTGTTTCTCATCGCCTCTACGCCTGGATGTAATTTGAGAACCCCCCAAGTTATGGGAACGACGGGTCGTACGGCCTAGTCGGTTAGAAAGCGAATACTTGGTCGGAAAACACCAGTTGCTCGCATTGTCTTGTATAACTTCTAGAATCAGTGGCCCTCCATTTTCCAAAAATGTAACTTAGAGGGCCAAACAGGTGCATCATCTTCGACACAGATATTTGCTACCAAACAGACAGACGATCTATCCCGGAATCGATTGCAACCCCCATAAGAGCCATTGCCTCTGTATTTTGTAGAGATTGCAGTGCAATGGCCTAACTACGAATTACAACGCCATTGCGAATTACAACTCCCTTGGGAACTTTAACTCCATCGCCCAGGTCGTAGTTCACCACCCAATCGCCGGCAAACGGATACTCAGGCAGTTTGATCTCCGGGTTACACCTGTTTATCCCCTTTGCAAATAGCACCCTGACATAGACGGGATCAAACACGAATGTTGTTTTCCCGGTTGTAGGGTTCCTCCTTGCGGCCGTAATCAGAATTTCGTCTATATCGATGCGCTCTACCAGATCCGCCATTGTTGCGTTCTCGATTTGTTCCTTGATGTGCTGTGCAGTCTTAGGATCGAACCGGGTGTCGATGAAGTATAAGCTGTGCGTGCCGGTCGCTGCCACGTATGGAGTATCCGGTGCCACAACCTGGAGGCCAGTAATCTCTTTTTCGATAACCTTTGGTGCGTAGTTGCCCCGGTATTCTTCTTGGTAGATTGGTGGGCCCTCGAATGGTCGGAACGGGTTCACAGACATAGTGGTAGAGGGACAAGTTGACTATATATTCTGCGTATGTTGTTTCTTTTAAACAACTCGTCGAGCATTTAGTGATCTGAGGTATATGATATAGAATTACTAGCTAACTACGTGTGGGCTAACAAGTAGGCTTACCACATGTAGGCTGACGTCGTGTAGGCTGACATTGTGATTTGCCACTGCATTAATATCGCAATGCTACCGTTACGGACTCCGACCCCTGTATAATCGGAATCCGCGGCACTGGGTGTGGGAGGGCAAGAAAAAATGAAACCCCGCCCCAAGTGCTGATACCAGATCCTTACAGAGTGTAATGGGTAAAATGAGCAGTTGATCAAGTATTATATGGTAAGGTTATTCCCTTGTGGTCTATATAACCACTAGCAGTTCCAGGAGTGCCCATGTGAGCTAAAGAATATATTAAATAGCGGTAAGTAGTAGATTAAAGCAAAATAAAAATACATTAATAGCCATGTGCTTTCAACTCTGCCTCTGTCCATTCCCACAAAGCTTCAGCCTGTTTCTTGTCATCTAGGACCTTAGCATGGGTCTCCTTTCCCACAGGGAAATAAAATGCCCCATTAACGACCGAGCTAGCCGTGCTAGCCCATAGCTGGTTCCATGCGCCCTCCTCGATAGTCACTGACATCAGGTTGCTGACTCGGACAAGCAATGACAGAAAGAAAGAGGACCCCTTAGTGACATCGGTGAGGCTAGTCCGGACAACACCCGGGTGTATAGCCACCGATTTGATTTTAGGGTATCGTTTCGCAAAACTGGTGGTGAAGTATGCGTTTGCCAGTTTCGACTGGCCATACCGGGCAAGTGTACTGAGATCAGCGAGGGGCGTCTTATTCTGCGCAAATAGAATGCCGGGCTTTGGGGCTGCTTGATACAAAGCAGAGCTCAGATTGACAATTCGAACGTCACTCCCACCGGCACGGGTTGATTGCAGCACCGGGAGGAGTAACTTGGTGAGAAGTGCCGGGCCCATGTGATTTGTGCCAAAGTTGACTTCATAGCCGTCTTTCGTGAGACCTGGTTCGGTGGTCATCACTCCCGCGTTGTTAACCAATATATCGAGTTGGTTGTTTGAGGATAAAAAGATGTCGGCTGCTTTCCTCACTGAGGCGAGAGATGCGAGGTCCAGAGGAAGGAAGATGATGTTTGCCCTCGGGACAGTCTTGGTTATTTCGGCAATCGCTGTGTTGGCCCTCTCCTCGCTGCGGGAGGCCATGTAGATTTTGGAGGGGTTGTGTTTGGCGAGCTGGATGATTGTTTCTTTTCCCAGACCATTGTTGCCTCCTGTAACAAGAATGACTTTCCCGGAAAGGTCAGTGATGTCTCTTTCAGGATTGAAGGCCACCATTTTGAAAACTAATGTAGATATCTGAGTGTTGCAGATGTGCCTCACGGTTCTCTTTAATAGACATCTCGCAGTTGGGTCAACCTAATACTAATTAAGTGGTCCATGGGATACTTTGAAAAATTGCCCAGTGTGTAAGGAGTATTGATTAAGTGAGTGCTTGTGTTGAATAAACAGAATTGATGATTAGTATTCTTTCCGAGACTCCACGGATTTTTAAGGTTGGCAGAGTGGAGAGGCAAGGGAGTTTGATAATTACGCTTCACCTACCAGCATCAAAGCAAGGAAGGTGGTCTGTTTTAGGCTTCATGATTGGATTACAATCGACCGGATAATCCCAAATATGGGTCCAAGTTGTATCCCATGCCTTCAGGGGTCCCATTGACGAGTGATGACAAATTTGTCGGGAGTTTAATTAAGCCGCAGCCGCACGGCCTGATAGGTCCCCGAGCTATGTGCTCTGTTGGAAAGGCGATCTTTGCCTTCGGCTTCGGCGTAATAAGTCCCGACAAATTTGTCTCAGAGATTGAAGACCTAAGACCGACTCGACTAATGCCACTAATCTAGGTTCTCTACATGCAAATAGATAGAGTAAAGTATAATTTCATGATCCGAGTCTGATGGTGTTCTGAATGAATACCTCTTTAGTTATATAATATTGATTAGTGTATCGCATTGCCGATGCCACGTTGATAGAGAGGCCAGTCGAACACGAGAGACATAACATCACGGGGTAACGGAGTACTATGGCATTTTCACAGGTTAAATTGAAGACAATTACAGGACTTACCAGGTAAGGCTCAAAGATAACCATTCAGTAGAACACACAATCATGTATTTACACAGAAGTGCACATGTGTTAGTTATGTAGTGGGAGAGGTTTGTACATAGTGGTTTGGTTCTCTATCATTTTTTTAATATGTCTTCAGCCAGCCGCTAGGGTTCTTTTGTTGCTCGGAGTATCTATTGTAGTCACCGAAGTATCTATTATATCTTGCATGGTCACTCTGCACTATGCCTATCAGTGGGGCACATCAGTGTACGCCACTCTAAGAGTCTAAGAGTCTCCATTTAGCAGTCTTAGGGGCGACGAAATGAAGTAGCCTAGACACTAATATACTGTGTTTGGGAGAAAGGTATTCTTAATACCTGGGGAATTGTATAAAGCAGTGGATGGGAGCCCTGAGAGATTTAAGATCAAAACTCGAATCAAGAGTGTGGAAACGAGATGTGTTATTAAACAAGATGGCAAGGTTGTCTATCGTGTCATTGCAATGATTTGGAATTATGCATTCAGCGTAGCGGATGAGGTATTGCGGCTTGAATTCCTCTCTTCCCCGATACCTACTAGCCCACTAGCTCTAGCCCCATAGCCATCTCAAGAGGGGGAACACAAGAAACCCCGTTTACTTCCAAAATTAATATCCATGCCATTCAATACGGATACCGAAGCAATGTCACTGAGTATGACACGCGGGCGCCAGCGCCAGCGCCCGGGTCCAGCGTGTGACGAGTGCCGGCGCCGCAAGCTGCGCTGCGATGGGCAGCAACCGCAATGCGGGGTCTGTCAAGAGACAGAGACAGTATGTGAAGTCACACCGCGTGGGGCGCGAGGACCAAAGAAGGGACACTTAAAGGCCCTTAAGAGTCGAATCGAGCAACTGGAGGCTATGCTAGAGAGCGGTCTCTCAGCCCAGCAGGAACAAGAGGACCTACAAATTCAAAACAACGCCCAAAGCAGTAGCGAAGGAACAATCGCGGCATCGCCTGTCGACGCGATAGGTCCCGCTACGTTTAATCCCACAGAACCATGGCAGCCGACGGCGGCGCCTTCTGTCCCGGAGCCTGCGGCTTTCGGTTTCCTGTCTGACTCCGCTTCCCTTTCCCATGGATTGCCATCCTCGTCGGCCCTGTCAATCAAAGTATCCATACCTCTCACGGATGTCTTGCGGGCCGAATTGTAAGCAATAGACATGTGGGAAATTTACATGACCGCTAACAATCTCCACCAGAGACCAGCTCTACTTGGACCGTGTGCACCAGTCAATCCCCATCCTCCATCAGCGACGGTATCTGTCTTGGTCCAAATCTACTACCAAAAGCGCATCGCGTACATGTTTACAGTATGCTATGTGGGCTTTGGCTTCCCTTATGTCAACTCAGTTCCGTGATATGATTGAGCCACTATACGAGAAAACAAAGGAGATGCTGGAGCATCTCAGCCTGGAAGCTAACGAAAAGAACAACTTGACTACGGAGCTTGCTCAAGCATGGGTGCTTGTTGTAATATTCGAATCTATGCGAACATATCACCAACAGGCGTGGATGAGCGTTGGCCGAGCTTTTCGCTTGGTCCAGGCCATGCGATATCATGAGATTGACAGCCCTCATGGTAGAAAAGGATCCTTTTCCTCTCAGATGAGCGACTTTACCGAGATAGAAGAGAGACGGCGGGTTTTCTGGATGGCCTACTTCCTTGATCATGTTATCAGCATACGCGATGACTGGCCCATCACTTTAAATGAGCACGTAGTAAGGATTCCAATCTCAGATGAAAGAAAGAAAAAGTTACCTGGGGTCATGAACTAACAGAGAAACCCGCTCGATCATTTTCAGATCTGCACCCGACTTCCAGCCCCAGATGCAGAGTTTCAAGCTGGGCAGCATCAGCTGGGACCCTTCCTGTCAGAAGCTATGACAGACCCCGATCTCAAAGTTCGCTCACCATTCAACGAATGCCTTATTTTAGTTACTATTTGCGGGCGTAGCCTGCTCCAAAATCAGCGGTACCACATATCCAAAGCCTACGGAGGAATGGCAATAGACTACATGGAGCAGCGTCTGTGGTTGGAAAATCTCCTGACAACAAGACTGCAGGTCTTGTCGCAGTGTTACCCAACCCCTACAGATGTGTATGAGCCCCTGTTATTATTCGCCAGCGTTCTTGGTCAAGCTACTGTGATCTACTTCTGCAAAACCATAGACTCAACGATAATTCCAGACGGCGAGCTGCAGGGCAATATTGATCTATTTGGTCCTCAAAATCGGGCCCTTGAAGCTTCTACAAACATCATCCGTCTCGCCTCGACACTACGCGACTTACCATTTGCCAAGGTAGGCCTTTTACTCTGATCATACATGGCCTGCTGATTGTTTATGGCTAGGTTCATCCACTGATGCCTTTTCCGCTCTTTTTGTGCGCTGAGTTTCTCTACGACGGCATGCATACGGGCGAACCATTTCAAACCCGTCTCCAGGAGCTATTTCATATTCTCCGAGAGCTGAAAAATGTCAATGACCACGAGCAAAGTTATTTGGATTTGCTACCACGATCTTGCATATCCAAAACCAACGATTTATTTAGCCATAGTGTCGGAGGGACCACTGCAGACTAACGTATAAATATTAATGAGTATTTTAGCTCTTGCCTATCGAATGTCACTATAATCAATACACACAGGAGGAGGGAACAGAAACCAAGACAAAAAATCAATTATAAAACTGTCTCTTTAGGCTATGTTTAAATATAGCATAGATTTCTTTCCCCAAGAGGACTAATTATATAGAAGCTTCGCTATCTATTACGCCGACCGATAAATCTGCTAGGTCGATACAAGAGGTCCACGGCATAATATATTCTACAACACACTCTCTTAAGCATGGGCATTGGCTATTTGATTTAATAGTATCCACTTAATCTGGACTTTCGACTTGTCGTGTTAGTTTAAGGCAGCATCAAGCGCCTCGCAACAATAGTCGGAGAAAAGTTTCTTTATAGGCCTAATCTGCGACAAGAAATAATTTGTCGATCAATCAGCTAGGAAACAAGACCAAGCTAAATGACCAATAACGGAGCTGTCTCATTAGGCTGTAGTATATAGTATATATCCTATAGAGAGCGATGGATGTAGAAGCTCCACTATCTATTACGCCAACCTACACATCTGCCAGCTCTATGCAACCTGTTAGCCACCGTCCACGGCACAATAGATTCTATATACTCAAGCACAGATATCGGCCAATCAGTCCCGTATTCCCGATGCCATCTACCCAGTTCAGACTTTGGACTCGTCCCAGAAGCCGAGTCATATTGTTGCCATCCTTATAAGAAGCTGCCCTTTGCTCGCCGAAATACTCACTCTCATCCATCTCGATATCTTCTCTAACGACATTCTCACACATCTTTGATATAAACTGCTAAAAAAAAGTAATTTCCTTCTCGATACGAGGTCGTGCGAGGCTGAATACCTTCAAAATCTCACGATGAGTCTCATTGGGCGAGGAAACACCGCTCTTAACACCAATCCTGTCACAGGTGTTGATGAAGCTCTCTCTGTGCACGGGTCCGATTGGCTTTGGGCTGTCACGGCTATCTACGTTCTGTCATTCGTAAGTTTCCTTGTACCTCAGCGCTAATCTTAACATTGTTGCCCCTTACGATGCATGTACCTTACTCACACATTGAACTCCACAGATCGTGCTCCTAGTACTCTCCTTTGCAGCAAAGGAAAGCGAAAGGGTCTTCCACTACCTCTTCACCTTCGCCCTCTTGGTCGGTGGCATAACCTACTACGCCCAAGCTTCCAACCTTGGCTGGAGTGCCGTTGATCAAATCGACAATCTCGGCAATGGAGTCGTCCGCCAGATGTTCTACGCCAAATATATAAACTGGGTCGTTGCTTTCCCTTCCCTGGTACTTGGACTTGGACTGATATCAGGCGTTTCCTGGACTACTATCGTCTGCAACATCGCAATCGCCTGGTATTGGGTTATAAGCTACCTCGTGTCAGCCTACACCACTACGGGCTATAAATGGGGGTTCTTTGCCTTTGGAACGTTTGGCTGGGTCATCCTCGCCATGAGCACTATCAACGAGAGTCGTGAAGCTGTTGCCTTGCTTGGTGTTGAACGGGACTATCTTGTTCTTGCTGTGTGGCTGAATCTTTTATGGGTGCTATATCCCATCGCCTTTGGCCTGACTGACGGCGGTAATGTGATCGGTGTTACCGGAAGTTTTATCTTCTTTGGTGTACTCGACGTCCTGATGGTACCAGTTTTGAGCTTTGCTGTGTTGTTCTTCGCCCGTAACTGGGACTACCGCAAGTTGAACATCGCTTTCAGTGATAGTCGCCCCAGCCGAGAGAGTGTGGATGTGTGTAAGGAAGCTCCTACCGCTTCTGCTGATGTGTCTATGGCTTCCTAGATATCTTCTAGAATGCCTGTATTGTGGGGGAATGCCACCGACCTGGATGATTGGGCCGTTCAGATCGATCTACTTCTTTTCCCTCTTCTGTCGTCCTTCTTTCTAATTTCCTTTGTCTTCTATTTGTTTTGTTGGACACTTGGACCTTCCTTTCTATAGCAACATAGTTTTTTCTGCGAATTGAGTTTTATGTACCTGTATATCTCCTGTTCAGTTACTACATATTAGTAGTGGTACTAGTAGCTCTGTAGCTCGGTATGGGTACAGTTCGTTGACACCAGTTCTCCATGTTCGTCCTTTTTGAATTTTGAATTTTGAAAGTCCTGGCAGCTCCATACAATAAGACAATACGAGACAATATTAAAAGAATAATTGCAAGCAGTTGCAAGGGAGAACTCCTTGTCAAAGTGACGGGAAGCACCTGACTTCGCGTCACGCGTCTCGGCCTGAGGCGAAAATCGGCCAATTGTTGTCCGACCCTTTGCGCAATTGAACCAGCAATTGAACCACGCAGAACATCTGTTCGAAATTTAATACAGGTGGGCTGCGCTCTTTGGCCTTAATTAACGACAAATGCGCAATTTATTTTCTCATTGTAAGTCCATACCTTTGGGGCGAAAGCTCCTATGCTCAAGCTGGCCGGCAATAAACAGCATTGATTGAATCTGATTCTAATTGACACAGGCGCAAACACTTATTCGACATTACAACCACGAGTCATTCCCGCCTCGAGTCTCTTGCCCCGACGAAACACCCTTTTCATCGAATTGGAAACCCCCCGATACCAGTGATTCCATCTCTTCAAACTACAGCCATGGCCCCAGCATCCAAGAGGAGAAGGGTCTCCAAGGACGTCGATGGAGACATTGAGATGGGAAATGATAATCAAGACGTATTCTCCGTCCCATCCTCTCCCGACAACCACAGGACTTCTCCTACGCCAGTGAAAAGTGCATCACGGCGTCGATCTACCCGCGGAGACGACGCAGACCCCGAAACGACAGGCCAAGATGGAGAGGACAAGAAAGAGGAGGCACAAACCCCCGCAAGGGTTGGGACACGATCAAGCGGGCGGCAGCGCAAAACACCGAAAAGATACGAGGAAGAAGCCGTGACACCCTCATCGAGGAGAAAACCAGCAGCCACTCCACGAACTGCGCGTGCCACCCGAAGCGCGCAAAAGCCGCAACGATCTCCGGTAGAAGACGAAGACGAGCCCGAAGAGCCTGAATTTGAAGAGGAGGAGGATGATGATGACGATGATGATGACATGGACCTCGACGAGCCGTCACCAGAACCCGCCCGTCGCACAATCACAAGGACCAGATCGAAGAGAAGCGTCGCGAAACCCAGAACCAAGAAAGCTGTGGCCGCAGAGCCGAAAGAAAAGTCGCCTTCGCCTGAGTATCAGGACGGCTTGGATGATATCGTTACTATGCAACTCCAGCAAGATCTTTATCATGACCAGCCGGAGGCGCATGAGACTATCGATATCTCCGAGCCGTTGCCGGAATATGCTGGAAATTTGCAAGCGCTCTGCCAAACGGGTCTTGGAGACGAAATGCGCATTCTCTCGACTATTGTTCTCGAAAAGCTGTCTGGGAAACGACAGATTCCAGTCCGAGGACTCGAGCCCGAATACCAGAAAGTTCATCAGCTCATTGAGCAAACCGTCTCCATCGGTGAGGGTAACTCCATGCTTCTTCTTGGATCCAGAGGATGCGGCAAGACTGCGATTGTGGAATCCATCATTTCGTCCCTTAGAAAGGAACACAGCAACGATTTCCATGTCGTTCGTCTCAATGGATTCTTGCACACAGATGACCGTCTCGCTTTGCGCGAGATGTGGCGCCAACTTGGCCGTGAGATGCATACCGAGGACGATGCGGCCAAGGTCAATTCTTATGCGGATACAATGGCGACGCTGTTGGCTTTGTTGTCGCACCCAGAGGAGCTCTTCGGGGCTTCTGGGGACCCAGGGTCAAAGACTGCTGCGAAATCCATCGTGATCTTGTTGGATGAGTTCGACCTATTTGTCACTCACCCTCGACAGACTCTATTGTATAATCTATTTGATATTGCCCAGGCCCGTAAAGCCCCCATCGCGGTCATTGGCCTCACGACAAAAGTCGACGTAACCGAAATGCTCGAGAAGCGTGTGAAGAGTCGATTTAGTCATCGTTATACTTATGTCCCTCTACCTCGATCCTTCGAGGCCTTTTCTGATATCTGCCTAGGGAGCCTGGATCTCAGTGATGACGAAATGGTTGATATTGCAGATGAACTTGGGTCTGAACGCACTCTAGTAGAGTCAGACAAATGGAATACACTGCTTGGGGGATGGAAGGAATATCTGAAGGTAAGATCTGTCACATTTTCCTCTTTGCAGTCAATTGACTCTTTGCTAACCCTCGCTCTTAAAAATAGCACATGTGGAATGACAAAGATTTCGAATTCCACCTCAAGCGTATCTACAACCAAACCAAATCAGCAAAGGAGTTCTTCAACAGCGCCCTTCTCCCCATCAGCGACCTGCTACAAAGTGTATCGGCCCCCGACACACCTATACCCGAAGTCCCAACCCCGAAAAGCTTCGCCTCCCAATCCCTCGATTGTCCCGATCCAGCACCTCTCCCCTTCTCCACATCCATCACATCATCTAGTCCCTCATCATTGCCACTGGCTTTGCTGGTAGCCGCAACACGCTTGGCAGCCCTGTTCGACCCTGGAAACGACGGTTCCCAGTCACAGAGCATGTCACCACTTGCGCTTTCCTTCCCCGCCGCATACGCAGAATATGTTCGGCTCCTGACCTCTGCAAAGATATCTGCCTCGGTATCCGGAGCTGCTGCCACACCTGGCCGCGTCTGGGGCCGAGATGTGGCTCGAGAGTCCTGGGAAAAGCTGCTCAGCTGGGGACTTGTGACTCCTGTCGGCAGTGGCAACGGCACTGCTGACGGACAGATGTTCCGTGTGGAAATCAGTTTCGAGGAGGTCATTGAAATGGCGGGCTCCGGTGGTGCTTTGGGTCAGTGGTGGCGCCAATAGAACTGTCAGCAATTTGGATATATTGCGAGCGTGTCTTACTGTGTTGCATTTTTTTTGCGCCGGTGGCAAGCATATCATATGGCTTTCTGACTATTAAGTCTACCATCTATCACGATATGAGTTGCTAGTCGGAATACATCTCAATTAATTTCCAGTCATTCTGTTCTCCACCGAGTTGTTCTAGAATTGATATGAAGTCCTCCTGTACTGTCCCAGTATACAAGAAAGAAACCAGCATAACCCAAATACATACCACGCACAACTGTCCCTGAAGTTCTATACAAAGAAATGAACATATCCAAACCCAGCCTCAAGGGATTTATACCATTCCCACCAAAATATACCCCGAACTCAACTCAACCCGACATCCGGTATCGGGTATATCACAAAACCAAACACCGACAGCATGGAGACTACGGAGTATACATGTACATAACCACATGTAAAACAAACGCTAAGCAAGCAACCCCTAGCTCCCTCTTTTAAGTTATTGACAAACTTCACTAGTCCCAAACCTACCTGATCCTCCATTTCAATCTGCCGATCATATTCCTTTCCATCGTCTATCCCAGTTGCTGAGTATGATTAATCACGTCATCCTTGCTTTTGTTTCGATGGGGTATGCACGCTCCCGGATACGGAGTACGTGTGTTTGTGGACTGAGGGGGTTTTACGCATGGAATCCTATTGCTCTACTCCATGACTCGAGTTAGATGATACGCGGTGGAGTGGATGTCATTTGATACACGGAGTATGTCTGTAGCATTTGATGATCGGCGTAGGCTTATCACGTATATAAGAAATGGTGGCGATATCGGGATCTTGTTGGATAGTTTGTATGGATCCCATGTAGGTAGTTTCAAAACTGGCTAGTTGATTGCTCAGAGGAAATGCAGATCTCGCATTTATTCTTTGCCTCCGGTAGTTTGTACTTCCGATGAGCATTTGTGTTAACCTCCTTGCTCGCACAGTCATTTAATGAGGATAAAAGATATGTTTCATGTATTATTTATTATAGAAATGTGTAAATGCTGTACATCTCCATTGCCATTCCGTGCTCATTTAATTGGCCCTCAAACACGCGGTATTTCGACATATGCATGTGGCCTGCCATGTGTTGAAAATGACAGGTCTGATTCTCGAGACTTTACCCAGAAATGGTAAAATGAGGGGCTGGTGTGTCAATATGGCAAGTTGTGCGTTGAGCATATTACTCTGCATGCAGGGCACCGATCACTGGGGTACCATGCGAAATCTGCATGTTAATGTAGGGCAATTCACATGGTTGAGAGGCTTTATTTTTGATACTTATGTTACATTGATGCATCAGATGTCTATCAGTGAGTCCGAAGTACAATGACATCCTGATAATAACTACTCCGTGTGAAGTAGGATGTGGTATTTCTTCTCGGGTGCTCAACAAAGAGACTGGGGCTTAAGCCGGACAAAAGATGTTGAGAAAGTCGACTCCACAATCCTGCAATACTCGCATGGCTCTGGTGCACTATGATATGCGATGCCCCATTCTTCGCTGTCTAGTCCTAGCCCCAGAGCCCGACTAGCCGTTAGTAATCCAGCTCATGCTGCAGCCTGCAGATCGATAATTCTTCCGCCTAAGGCTACATGACCATGTGTCTGTTTGTGCATATGCGCAAAGCCCTAGTGCATTTTGACCATGCGGTAGCCCGAAATAACTTATTCCCCCCACTTCCGGGTCTTGTAGCTCTGCTCTTAGGATAGAAACCGGGTAACTACGGTATTTGAGGGAAATAGAAGAAATCCTGGTTTCAGAGTGGTGGGGTAAATCTAGGCCTGGCACGACGTCAATAAAAAAACGGAGCTTTCGGGCAACGTGGTGTTCTCGTGGATCTGTTTATCCAGAGATGTGTCTGCTTTTGATCGGGCCGCAGCCTTCCGTGGGGGCTGCATTGGGTTCTGTGGCAAAGGATAATTAAATGGATAATTCGCTGCAATGTTGTACTCCGGGGAGAAAAGTGGTCAGTCAAGGATCTTCCTGTGGTCACCGGCTTCGCTCTGACTACCCCGCTTTGGCGCAGATACAGAAGAGGGTAGAGTATCCTTTTCCCGTTAGGATGATGTTGTTTTCGCCTTTCTTCAGGCTTCGTGGCTTGCACGTCTTGACGCCAAGCTGACTAGTCTTGCGATTACAAGGTTGGCGGTCGAAATGAGTGGGTGAGCGGAGGGTTATCTCTAGTCGGATGGTTACTCCTTCGAATGAGAGATTAGGGTTGACTATTAGGCTTTGAAGCCACGCAGGGAGATATGAAATATTGATCTTCACCATTTCCAATTCGTCGATAGATATCATTTGATTTGATTTGATTTGATTTGATTTGATTTTCCTTGTGGCGATCAGTATCAATCGGACAACTTCCGTCTTCCCCCACGTGCAGTAGCGGTCAACGATCAAGACCGTTAAATGGGCTGACATCGGTGATAAGATTAATTCCGGGAATAGTAACTAACAAGCTGTCTTCTTGATCTTGATGGTAATAACAATATTGATCTTTGAATGACATAGTCAATTATGTAGATCACGTACGGTACTCATCGACATATTTAGAGTGTAGATCCCTACGATGCCTCAAATCTGCGCAAGTACCATATGCGCCTCCTCAGTTCCCGTTGCGAGGTGCATGATTCTTGACATGGTTATCTGCATAAAGGTTTTTTGCAGAACTGCTGTGGTCATCCATGCTATGCGAGTGACCGACTAAGCCGGAGTCACGATATCAAGAGAGAATCTGCGTAACAAGATCAACCAATCAAATACATCATTCATGAAACAAAGACCGATCTGTATTCTTCAAGGCCACATACAATTCATCTAGTGCTATGTCTTCGGGAAATGCAGTACTACATTTACCGCATTTGACTACATCTATACGGACGGCCTTATCATGTCTTTTCCGTGCGTATTTTTCAGATGTCGTTTATTTAGATGTTTTCTCCCCTTGTTATTATTATGGTTAGAATGATAGAAAGAATTAGCCGTGACTGATAGAAAATAGATAAGAAGGCGTAGAATGGTGTAAACTGACTGTGATGAGGATAAGTACGAACTTCAAATGTTGTCAATTAACATCTCGAGGCATCCAACGGCCTCGGGTCATAAAAGCCCAACAACCAACACAAAATCACCCAAAAAGCATCCAAACGGCTTTGCAAATAATCAGAGCTTCTACACAACCTATGACCAAGCCAAAATCAAGCCAAAACCAAGCCAAAACCAAGCCATCTGAAAAACGTACAAACCAACACAAACCAAGTGGTTTTAGTGAGAGCCTGGAGTGTCTCTGCAATAGCCTTCAACGTAAAACAGTCGCTCCTTCCTTTTTGAACCGGGGGAAAAAGGGTCTGCTCGGGAATAGCAAGAATCTGGGTACTCTATGGGGGTGCACTAACTGAGTAGCGCATGGGGCGGGTGATAGGCTGCCTCTGTTGCAACCATAATGGGATGATATTGTGTATCGAATCTCTCAAGATGAACTTGGAGGTTTTGAAGAGGTCTGCGATGATGAACTCGCGGTTCAGGCGTCACATTAAGCTCGCCATGATCAGGGAGACCCACTGTTGCTCCCTCCGCTTTACGTAGAAAACGATCAGCCCCATGGCGAAAGCGATGGCATACATGGGTGTCCAAAATCTGCGAGTAACTCGTCTCTCACTCATCTTGGTAGGCGGAAGAAAAAGAAGAAAGTGTTCTTTTCGAGGCAGTCTTGTATTTGATTGAAAGGAGGAGAAACGAGGGGAGGGTGTGCATGTAAGTAACTACCAGTACATGCCTTCCTAAATTACTTCATACTGTGACTTTTCCAAGGTTCCTCTTGTGTTGATCTTAGTGTTTTTTTTAGAGAATGAGCCAATGAAATAAAGTAGCTAGTTCTAATATTTAATTGGTGTTTCCAATATGAGATCTGGTACCCGGGGCCTGCAGATATGAATGAGATCACTAACCCCAGTGAAGTAAATAGTCCGATGCGCTAATAAATTGACCCTATTTGACACCGGATAGAACGTGAACCTTATAAACCAAGGCAAGATCATGATGATAACTACAAAGTAGATAAAATAATTCCCAACTCCGCTCTCATTCTCATTATTCTTTTTATGATACGCTCGGCTTACAAAACTACTCCTGGTTTCGAAGACTTTACCTGTCGCTTGATCATCATCCATATCTCGAAACCTCCAAGATGTTGGGAGAGTATGGGACTTTGTCTGCCAAGTCAACTTACAACTATACCAATACAGATGGGTGGGTTTATCATGACCGATTCTCAAAATATCATGTCACCTTGGTCATCGATATCATTCTGGCTGAAAATTCGCTCCGGTCAACCGTTCAACGAGAAGATGCGTTGATAAACAAGATTAGAGCTGCGAAAAAGCTTACGGGCGTCGATGACAACGACGTAAAACTTGGCCCACTCGAAGAGGAGTTGAAGGAACTTAAAAAAACACGTTGCCATCGAGTGCGGGATCTCTACGAAGAGGAGTGTCAGCTCCGTATGGGATCCTTGAGAAGGGGCTACATGTCAGTGAAGAGCAATCCTGCTTGGTATCTCCGGGAAGAGCTCGTCGAAGATTGTATTGGCAGAGGAGGTTGCTGTAGCCGGGACTGTGGATGCTGCGCCAGACGTCGATTATCCGCTAAAGATGGGAGAGGCATCGGGCATTGTACCGTTGAATGTATGTGCTGTATACACGACCGAGGGTCGGAGTTCACGGAGAAAGAGAAGAGGACCTGTGATACGCGACTCGCCCAGACGCTTCGGTCTCATAATCCTGCTTTTGTTCTACGGATTGCAAATGCGTACTTTTCGAAACCTCTAGTCTGGAAACTTGACACCAAGAATAAGTAGTACGGCCTAGTTTTGGTGATTATCGCTCGATGGTTGGTTGCTCTACGTTTGATTATTACTTGATAGTTATTTGGTTTAATTGTCTTACTCTGCTATCTGCTATTTGCGATATGTATGTCTACGAGCTATAAGTGGGTATCACGGAAAAAAAAACATCGTAGACAATTTCAAGGTTTTTTTCAAAAAAAAACCTCGACTTTACTTCCGGTGAGTGCACAGAAGATAATAAATAGCTTTTTACAATAATTTAGCGGGATAGTATCTCACAGGCTAACCAGGTAGGACTATAGCGGCATGTGTAATTCGGCTTTGCTCTGTGTCACCGATGTTTTGCCGATCTGCCACGTGGACTTGAAGGTCCTTTTGTTCCCGTGTGGCTCCTCTGCCGTGTCTACCGTGAAGGTGGAGTTGTCTGGTGGATATACTTTGTACGAAGTACAAAGTATGGTAACCACCCATCGGAGATATTTCTGTCTTTCTCGGCCTTATTATTACGTACACCGTAGATCAGATACAAGTATATCCAATATGAGACTCTTGCTTATGAACCTGTTGCATATATAATATATACAAGAATATAGTCACCGGCTTATACGGCCTTGTTATCTCTTTTCGGTGGTCTCTATAGTCTTTTCAAATATCTTTTTAAATGTCCTTTTAGATGTTAATTTTTTTGTTTAGATATCTTAGCATCAATTTTATAGTTAATCGGCAGAAAAAGGCGGAAAAGATGAAACATGTACAGACGACTGTACTAGTATGTATAACAAGGGGATCCATATGTATTTCCGTTAATATATACCTAATTGGCTTGATAGAGATTTTAAGTAAACCCTACGGAGTAGTGTGGACATAGTTCGAAAATTGACAATTGACACTTGCCAAGCCTTGGTCTTCCCGAAATCAGTAGGAATTTCAGGAACAGGAGAAAAACAACAAAGAATCAACACTAGAAACAAAAATTTCTAGGATATTGCCCCTTAATCAATGGAAAAGAGGAGAAATAGGCGAAACGAGCACTTACCTAGGTATATAGTGGACCGCTGAACCATGGAACTATCCGAAACGAGGCTTCTTGGCGTCTTCCAGAATCCTTCTAGAAGGCTTCTAGCGTTCTCGTGGATTTTGCCACCGGAGTTCTCCGTTAGTCCCCGTTGGGCCGGAAATGTGGAAGACTCCATGATTCAGGGTATTTCGTGAAGTATGGTTCAACAATTCATGAAACCCATGCAAAAGTCTATGACGTGATTCACTACTACACTATCTGTTTTCAGCAAGTGGAGTCGACCACGAAACGGTTACGAATCCATGGTATTTTACATACAAGGTGACGGTATAATATACGTATATAATACACATGGGCAAAGGGGAGATTACTATAACGGCCTATAGGGACCTCGGTTGTATAATGTGCACAATCCAACCACTCCTATTTGTGTGAACAAAGTGCAATTTCGCGACATTGAAGATCATGTCTTATCTACTCCGTGTATGCCCGCAGATCAGAACCCTGATGATTGCATATATCCGAAAACACCCCACTCGGGATCTCTCATAAATAGATAATCGGGATGTCCGAATAATTGATATTTAAGTCCGGCGAGTTAAAAGTACACAATGAAAGCCGCACCTTTGACAGCGGCCTCAAGAAATAAAGATCAGCACGGCGACTCCGTACCGAGCGCCCAGAGATACATATGTGTCCATCTCCTAAAGTCAAACCGAACAGGTAACATATCCGATGAGGCTCTGTTCACAAAGTGCTGCGTGCACGGGATTCCACTAGTGTTTTCGCTAGTCTTGCAAGGAGAGTTTCTGTCCATCACACTCTTTGTCAGGATGGTCATCCCGGCAAGATTGCATGTGGCTGATTTACAAAGTACGGAGGAAAGGTCGTTGCGCAAGCCACATGGTCCCAATACGGGGTCACACCTATTCTCATAGGTAGGCCACCTTGCTTATGAGTCGCGGCCTGCTGTAACTGGGGGATAATCAGATATGACCTCTCCAGTAATCCACGTGGCAACCTCAGCTATACTTTACTCCGTACTTCCCCCACATGCGTAGCTCCCGGCATCTTCGGCCCCTACAATGTGATACGTAGTCTCGGGATTTTCTTAGCCTGTCTAAATCTGGACCGTTTGATGGGGTCTCGGAAGGGAAGATCGGTCCTATAATTTAAGATTGAGATAGTATTCTGTATTGTGATCTAGAACATCTAAAGGTACTTTAGTAAATGGTGTGGTGCATCAAGGGGCAGTGAAGGTGAAGGCCGAGATTCATCGATTCATCTAGGCCTTTCTCTACCCCGGCCTGGCCCAAATCTAAATATGTACTTCACCCAACAACCACACCCCGAGGCCAGGGCTGACTAGGTGTTTAGAGTTTAGCATGGCTAGCCCGTCCAGGGAGCATCAGAGCATAGTTCGAATCCCAATCGCGCCAGCCACATTCCTAGAAAAGCAAACTAGTTCTCGGATGTTGATTCCCTGAATTCCGCAGAGATCTGCGTACAACCATGCACTTCGGAGTATGTATGAAGTACACCTGCTACATGCAGGGACCCTCGAATAGGCAAGGAGGGGATATGTGACTAGGAAAGTAAGTTGCCTGCACGAAGTATACCATATCAGAATTGTTCCATCTTTTTTCGGCAAGGTATGTCCCAGAGTGAACTAATGTACTCCGTACATAAGCTTTCCATTTGTGCGGATCGACACCCAGGGACAACCCTGGCTCTGGAATAAAGGATGTTCTGAAATGGTAGGGTTGGGATCTTGGCAGCTGAATTCTATTGATGATTTGGGTCTTGGAGTGATTTTGAGTTTTCATGACTCGTGTTGAAACCTGTATCTCGTGCAGTCCACATTGCCCACATTGTGTTTATATCATATGCGTCTGGGTGGTGACTATTACCCCTGAATAATTCAAACCTGCAGGAATCCCTTGTCGCGTGGCCACCAGGGATGTTGATAGCTGGAGAAATACAATACCATGTGGCATAAATTACTTGTATGTAATAACTGATACAAAGTTACATACATACCTCACTGCTGGAGTCTCATTCGGCTCAATCATCTCTCTCTGATTGCCGTTGAATGTCTGACCGCAACTTTAAGACTCTGAATAGGAAAACCTCCGTGAGCCAATCTGTTAGCGGGCCTCAATATTGGATAGCTTCAATCCACTTTCGCCATGGTAGGCGGAACAAAGCGACAGGGATAGTTTTCACTAGTTTCTCTTCGAGATTAGCGTCTCGCAATAATGGATCTGATGTGCAAGACTAATTGTAATGAAATTAATCTATATCCGTATCTGTATACGAAGTAACGTATTACGGAGTACGGAGTACAAAGTTATCGAATTCGCTAACCCACCCCTTGAACTGTTCACTTTGTCTTATCAAGACTCCTTGAAACCAGCCTAAACCCCGTCAACCTCAATATAGAGCCGCACGAAAGTAATTTGAGCCACCTCGGCATTTCTCGTACAGGGCTGAGCCGAAAAGTAGCGGCCGGAAACTCCCTTTTTGGCCCCCAATTTCATCACATAAGCTGGGCCCCTGTTGGGATGAGAAACTGTTTTGCCTGAATTACCTCCCCTGCTTGAATCTCCACGTGGCACCGTTCGATCGTGTCATTGTGATCGATCCTGCTCGATAGATCTCAACAGTTTCTAGATATGACGTGTCGCTTATTCCAATGTTCTTATCGCCTTCCAAGGTTTCTCTCCTGTGATGTAGAATACCTTTTTTTCTTAGATCTGCGCTATCCAATTTAACTTCTGTTGGCTAATCTCGTCTTGCGGGGGAACCAATCTCGTGTCAAATGATAGGCAATCAATGTGTATCTTTACTTAATCTGTCTTTCTAGCTAGGTCTGAGCGGTCTAGTCTAAACCTTTTTGTTCCAAGACATAGCTCCTTCGACGCAGAATGCCACTTGTTTAGGCAAGGTTGCCCGGCACCAGGCGGATGAAACTCGCACTGACATCTTGAATAGTTGTTTCGCGTGACCTGCTTCGAGAGCTTTGGTTGGTCAGCCCTGTTTCTCGGTGAGCACTGCCCCTTAAAGGGGTCTTCGTGACGTGTCTGATAGCTCGATCTAGACAGGGTATTGAGTAGCTTGGTTCATGCAAGTGAAATCCTTGTGGCCATGTTGTGCCCTCGTGTTGGGCCGCGGACTCAACGGGAATCAAGTGTAAAATGAGGCTCTCGTGTTGACGGTTAGCGTTTGCTCGCCAACGTTGGCCCCCGACCGCGGAGAAAGTGAGATTACCAGCCACTGCCTGCGCATTGATCACCTCGTATTTCAAGAGCTCATGAGCTCATGGATGAATTGATAACGAAATAGACGATCATGATCCCCAGAGCTTGGCGGGTATTTGACACTAGGGCGTCTCCGGTTTGAAGGCGTTAATTGTTTCGTCAAGGCGGTAAACCCCCATGTTTATCGCGAAACTGAACGGAGAGGAAGCTGAAACACGGGCTCCCAGGAACCAGGATACCACGACCCCGAACCGTTGGAAAAGTAGTGTAATCCACGCTTATAATTATGGAATTTATTAGCGAAAGCTCCCCATCGCGACCCGTAACCTAGACAGTCAAGGGAAAGATTCGCGAGACTGCGCCTCCCTCTAAGCGCAAAACAGTAATAGGGGATTCGGCGGTCAGACGCTAAGCATCTCTCTCCACGTGTGCCCACGTGGGACCACATGGGTTATGCACACGAAATGAAAAGAAGGCGCTTGGAATCGCCATGGAAGCCTGGAGATTAGGATTTTTATTTTCCTCTTGACCGCCTTTATATATTATCAGGTTACACGCAAGGTACTCAAAAGGGAAATACCCCTCCCCCCACTATGACGGTTTAACCTTGTATACATTATCTTCGGGTAGAATAGCGGATTATATATTAATTATCGCGTTGTCTTGTCCTTTTTGGCGCTGTACAATATAGTGTAGTTTCAGGATCAAAGCCTATATGCGACACGCCAAATTAG